AAAGGAGATATACTAGTTATATAGCTATATAGCTATCTAGGGTATTTAATATATAGTATTTAACTAATTTAAAGCTAAGTAGAGAGATATATAGAAGTATAATAAGCTTAATTTATAAGTAATTAATTTCTAAATAATAGTATAAAGTATAAAGCTAATTAATTAAAAAAAATATATATATATATATAGAACTAGACTATAGTTATACTAGTACTAAGGCTAGCTAGCAAAAAAAAAAATTAAAATTAATTATTATTAAAAAAAAAAAAAAGAAAGAGAGATAATATAACTATAGAGCTTAATATATACTTAATCTACACTTAACTTATACTTAATATAGCGTCTACTAAAATAAGCGCTCTAGCTTACTAAGCAACTTTTATTACAACTTATTACTAGTTAAATTAATAACTTAATTATTAAGAGAGAGAGAGAGCAGAGAGAGAATAGTATTCTAAATACTTTTACCTTTATAACTACCTTCTTCTCTACTATAAAGATAAGTTAAAGTCTTAAAGATATAAAAGTAAATATATTAGCTATAAAGAGTTGCCTCTTTATAAAGTATATTAACTAGAGTGTAAATTAGTTTCTACTAGTTAGTATACTTATAGTATAACTCTACCTACTCTACTTACTACTCATATAGCATTTGCTTAATATTTTAAGCTATAGTAGCTTAGCTCTAGAAAAAATTTACTAATATCTACTAGTTAGAAAGTAGTATATATTTATAGTAAGAGAGTATTAATATACTAGTAAGCGCTAGCGCCTATAAATTAGCGCTAGCAGCTATATTACTCAAGAATAAGTTAGCTAGTATATATAGAGAGTAGATAGAACTAGAGGTAATATAAGCCTGCTTTAATAATATATTAAACCTTTTAGTTATAGAATTAAACTTTATAGAAAATTTAGTATATATACTAAAGCTTTTACTAAACTTTTTATATATAGTAGATATAATATATCTACTAGTATTTATAATTTACTATACTTTCTTCTATTAGTAGTATAACTTAAAGTTTAAAGTATAAAAGTATGCTTTCTAAATATACTTCTTATAGGATAAAGATATACCTTCTAAATATACTTTTTATGAGTTTTATAGTACTACTTATAAGCTATAGTAAGGCTAGAAATATAACTAGTAGAGCTAGTATTAATAAGCTTGCATTAATATAGTATATATATTCCTAGAACTTTCTCTCTATTAAAGAGGTTATTATTATTAAAGTTGCTTTCTATAGCATACTTGCTTATATAGCAGGCATTACAGTATAGCAGTAGGAGCAGTAGAGGCAGGGGAGAGAGCATGCTAGCAGTAAACTCCTTAAAACTAAATTAAGTATATAAAATATACTATATTATACTTAGAATAGTAAAGGTAATATAAAAGCAATATAGAGAAAGAAGGCAGATATAGTAGTAGTAATTTTTAGAAATAAAAATTTTTAGTAGTATAAAAAAAGTATTAGTAATACTTATTAAGAGGAAAATAATAAAAATAAGCAGTATAAAGTTACTAAACTATTTATAAAGTAGAAGTATATTAAGTATATACTATACGCAAAAAATATAGAGCAGAAATATATAGTTGCTAGGGGAATTTACACTATATATCTATCTTTACTATATAGCAGTAATATAAATAAACCTACTAAAAGAAGAGTATATAATAAACTTAAGCTATAAGCTTAAGTAAGTATAAAGCACTATATTAGTGCCTTATTAAATATGCTTTAAATATATATTAAACCTATATATATATAATAAAAGAAAAAGAAGAGACAGAGAGCTTCTTCTTTCTCTCTTTTCTCTCCTTAAGTTTATAGTTAATACTAGTAACGCTTACATACAGTAGCCTATAAGGCCAGCTCTTAACATAAAAAGTATAAACTAATTTTATATATATTAATTACTCTAGATAGCTGTAAAGCTATATAACTAGTATGTCTACTTTTTATATTAAATATAGAAAACTCTCTAGCTAGAAAGAAAAACTCTACTTACTACTTATTTTACTTTCTAAGCTAGCTCTAGCTTTATACTAGCTAGAGACCACTTATCTTCTATATATATATAGTTACTTCTAGCTTTACTAGCTGTATTTTATAGAGGTAAACGCTTTAATAACTTTAACTTACCTTTAGCTTTATAATAATAAGTAGCTCTACTATAATAACACTATAACTTGTCAGCAGTAGATACTGCCTACTATAAAAAACACCTACAAAAACAAGGGAAATAACTACAGCACAAAAATTGCCTACAAGGAACGTTTGCATACATTTTATATGCAAGAATTTAATATACTTTATGCCTATATTTCTTAGTATATATAATTAAAGTTAAGAGAGAAATACTAGCTAAAATTTAATAAAAAGACTAATAAGCTATAAAGGCTAATTTACTCTATAGAAGGAAATAGCTATAAGAGTTATTTTAAGCTACTAAAGCTACTATATTTGCTTAATTCAGCAGCTCTACTATAGAATTTACTTATAAATAACTCTTCTTCTCTCTAACTAGATAGAGAGGAAATTAAGCCTTTATAACTATACTCTTTAATATATACTATTATATATAATTTTATACTATATTTAAAGTTACTTTTATTATACCTTAAGAATTCTTATTATTTTATGCTTAGTAATTAACTAGATTATATAAGCTCTATTTATTATATCTATATTTATTATTTATTATATTATAAAGAGTCTCTTAATTAGTTAATAGTTATAAGCCTAGTTGCTGCAAGCTTTATGCTATATACTATACTTTATTAGAAATACGCTATTTCTATTTAGGCTTAGTACTAAACCTCTAACTAATTAGAATTTAGTATTTAATTAAGCGACCTACCTAGGACCTACCTAGAATTTACTTTTCTAAACTTTATTATTATTTAACGGAATTTACACTTATTTACGCCTATTTAACTAAGCTTTTATATAACAAGCTATTTACTATAAAAAGAAGCAATTTCTACACAGAAATTTATATTAATTAACTATATTAATAAAAACGCTATTTAAACCGGCAAAAACGTCTAAAATCGCTTAAAATCGCTATATAACTATTAAAATAGAATTCAACGCTATAGAGGCTTTCTAAAAGGTTACCTTAACTAGCCTAACTAATTAGTATAAATAGATTTCTATTTATTATTAAAGAATTCGCTATAAGCTAGAATATTTAGAACTATATTAACTTTAATATTAAGCATACTACTAATAATACTAGGCTTATAAGGCCTAAAGAGCCTAGCTATAAGGATATGAACGCTATAGCTATATATATTGCTAACCTTACTAATGTAGAGCTTAAAAAGCTAGATATTGCTAGAGCTAGCTATTAAATTTAGCTCTAGCTATATCTAGCCTATTAAAAAGCTATATATAATATATAAAGCTATATAATAAGTATAGTTAGTTACTATTATAATACTATTTTAATAGAATTTAATATAGCTATACAACTAAATGTTAGCGGCAGATACTGCCTACTATAAAAAACAACCTATAAAAACAAGGGAAACAACTGCAATATATAAATTGCCTACAAGGAACGTTTGCATGCATTTTATATGCAAGGATTTAATATGCTTTACGCCTATATTTCTTTGTATATATAAATAAGGTTAAAAAAGAAATGCTAGCTGGAATTTAACAAAAAGATTAATAAGCTATAAAGGCTAATTTACTTTATAGTAGGAAAGCAGCTATAAGAGTTATTTTTAGCCTTTAAGGTTATTTTAAGCTACTATCTATGCTTAATTTAGCAGCTCTACTATAGAATTTACCTATAAATAACTCTTCTTCCCTCTAACTAGATAGAGAGGAAATTAAGCCTTTATAACTATACTCTTTAATATATATTATTATATATAATTTTATACTATATCTAAAGTTACTTCTATTATACCTTAAGAATCTCTATTATTTTATGCTTAGTAATTAACTAGATTATATAAGCTCTATCTATTACATCTATATCTATTATCTATTATATTATAAAGAGTCCCTCAATTAGTCGATATAACTACAACTATAACTATAATAATTACAACTATAATTACAGCGACACAATTACCTACCCTATTACAGCAACAGCTTGTGCCAACAACTATAAGCCTGTGATTTCAGCCTACACCGCCGAGAGCGCTGAAAGCTGGGGGGGTGTGTCAGCAGAAAAAATTTAATAGGTGCGTGCGTCTGTGTGTGTAACTATACAGTTAATATAAAGTTAATTTACGCTTCTAATTGTAGGAGCGCGTTCTACTTTTGCGTAGTGTAGTTAACCTTGCGATTAACTTCCGACAATAATAATAAAAGAGAGTACTCCGTAGTCCTAGTCTTATTACTAAAATGTAATGCTTATAGTAGGCATTAAGTAGTATTAATGCTTATTCTCTTCTAGGTTGTTTCTAGCTAAGTCCGCCCCGTAATAATGCCTCTTATTTTACTAGGTCATATGACTCACTCCCCTTTCCCCCTTAATAAGTCCTTGTTTGTCCAAGGCGTTTCACGACCACGCTGGATACGACAACGTCCACGCCGAGCGCATCCATTGATTGGTCGACAGGGACCCATACATGACGCCAACTCCTCTCTCTGGCATTTAAGTGTGCATTAACGTTAAGCAGCTCGGCCAATCAGAAGGGTGCGGACCGCTGAATCAGGTGCCGCTCTCGAGGGAGCCGTTGTGGAGCTTGTTAAGGGGCATTCATGAATTCTCTCTCCTTTGAGGCTTACATTTGCATCGAGTTCATCGCCTAGTATCATGTGACAGCCGCTCCTGTTGGGACAGCCAAGTCGTCACGAGCGGCTACAGGGGCCTCGCGCATGTACTTATAGCGAGGCAGCCCCCGCGAGCTAGTGTCGACAACTCTGCATGTCAAGAGCTCCATCGCCTTCTAACTCGAATCACTCTTCGTCGATTTCGTCTATTTGCTCGAGCAACGTCTTCCAGCTTGTTGGCTGCAGACGACTGCTGCCATGTCTGACCGATTTTCTTCGGTGCTGGAATTGGAAGACGTCAACCGCCGGACGCCGCTTTCATACGCAGCCGAACAAGGTGACGTTGATGCCGTCACGGGGCTGTTGAATCAGGGTGCAAATTATCAGGCGGTTGATGCATCGGGGAGGACTCCCGTGTTCTGGGCTGCCGTCGGAGGCCACGTCGATGTGATCAAGAAGCTTATAGCGTGCGGCGCGGAATGGAAGGTTGAGGATGCTTCTGGCCGCACTCCTCTGTCGTACGCCGCCGAGGGCGGACACCATGATGCAGCTTGTGAGTTGGTGACGGCGGAGGCTCCTGGGTCATCTTCACAATCCGAGGACGACGCGGAAGGGTCGGGTGGAGGAGACGCTCACAACGGTTCCGGCAACGACTCGGATGATTTGTCCATAGCTTCGACTGCTTCCATCGTCTTGCCACTGAATCTCGCGGTCCGCCGCGCGGATGAGGCCGCCGTCAGGGCCCTACTGCAGCATGGCATGGACATGTATCACGACTCGGCCGTGGGAGAAGATCCGCAGCCAGTTCTACTCGCGGCCAAGAGTGGCAATGTTGAAATCTTGAATATGCTTCTGGACGCTGGCCTTCCCCTGGACAGCGCCGAGGACATGTATGGGCGGACGGCGTTGATGTGTGCCGCTGCAAAAGGCCACGAATCCATCGTCGAAATTCTGCTGGCGAGGCCGGATAATCAGCTCGACAGCCAGGATGAAACGGGGAAGAATGCACTGTCGTACGCTGTAGAGGGAGAACACGAAAACATTGCCGAGATGCTGCGGCAGGCAGGTCTGAGCGAGGAGCAAGATGAAGAAGCCGGGTCTGAGACGTCTTCCGCTCCCGCTACTGACGACGATGCGGTCGAGGAAACGCACGCGCCCGTCACCCCTGCTGATGGACCGGAAGAATTGAGCATGGCGCATGGGACACAGAACAAGGAGGTCGTTCTCCGCCAGCAGGGTGAGGGTGGCCTTGGCTTCAACGCCTTTGACAGCGGCAAACCAAGCGCGCTCTCATTGGCCATACAGCATAATGATGCTCAAAAGGCACATATTTTGGCAAGGAACAGCGGGACGGATGGTACTGCCAAGGATAACCAGGGCATGACTCCTTTACTGTGGTCGGTCAAGTCCAATATGCCATCAGTGACACGGATGCTCATGGCCACAAAACACGCGCTACACGCGGACAACCAGGGCCGGAACCTCATTCACCACGCAGCCATGGCGGACAACGGTGAGATTTTCCAATTTCTCCTGAAAATGGGGGTTCCCGTTGATGAGCCAGACAACTCTGGCCGAACACCGCTCTCGTACGCTGCAGAGCTGGACCGAGTCGACATTGTCAAGCTGCTTCTTCACGATGCCAAAGTGGATGTCAATCGTGCCGACAATGGCGGCCGAACACCGCTTTCGTATGCCGCGCAGGGGGACTCGGACCAGACGATAGAGCTACTGCTGGAGAGACCCGAAATCCAAGTGACTTTGGCCTCTCAGAATGGACGGACGCCGCTGTCATATGCCTGCGTTCACTCGACGCACTCGGAACCGACATTTGAGTTGCTGATCGCCGTCGACGCTTCCGTTGCCGACATTGAAGACAAAGATGGCCGCACTCCCATCTCCTGGGCTGCAGGTGCGGGCTCGGCCGCTGTATGCTCTCGGCTCATTTCCCTCGGGGTCGACGTCGATCGCAAGGACAAGAATGGGAGGAGCCCTCTATCTCATGCAGCCGGAGGGGTCCACGCCGAGGTCGTACGTATCCTACTTGAAACACAGCGGGTTGATAGGGCGTCTAGGTGTGCGGCCGGACGGAGACCGCTGGACTGGGCAGTACATGATTACGAGTCTGAACTGGAGCCTCATCTCCACTGGGAGCGATATGAAGAACGGAAATGGGCCATTGTGTACATGCTCATCACAGGCGACCTGGATCAAGCTCCGTCCGTCAATTCCATAGAGAGTCTACTCAAAGAGGCCATTGAGCGCGACAAGCCGCAGGTAGTGTCAGAGCTCGTCCCCTCTCCGTTGGCCAAGGACATATACTATCCGTCCGAGCTGATTGAGCATGTCATGGAGCATGGGTCCGATGAGATGGCGAGAGTCGTCTTTACGGCCTTCACGAAAAGCGGGATTGAATTGTCCCACGCCTCGGTCCTGTCTAGTGCAGCATCAGCCGGAAGGACCGCGCTAGTTGAAGAGCTACTCGGCCAGGAGAAGGCGTCGGAAGCCGATGACGAGAATCTCATCTCTCAAGCAGCCGCCAACGGGCGTGTAGAGACGATACGAATGCTTCTCGAAAAAGAAGGCACAGATGTCAATCAAGCGGATGCAGATGGCAAGACACCTCTGGTGTTGGCATGCATTCATGGCCAAGAAGACACTGTCAAGCTGCTGCTCGAATGCCCGGGGACTAATGTCAATGCTGCGGACAAGGGCGGACGGACAGCCGTGTCCCACGCTGCCAGTGCTTGGTACCCTGGATGTCTGAAGTTGCTCTTGGCAGACCCGAGGGTCGACGCGAAACGGCAAGATTCCCAAGGCCGGTCGCCATTGTGGTATGCGGTCGCCGCATGGCACCGCAAGGCCATCTCTGCCCTTTTAGACGCTGCATAGTGTTGCGACTTGCAAAGAAAAGAACAACGGGCACCGGCACGTTCTACGCGCCGAGAGACATGTAGTCCGACTGCATGAAGCTTCAAGCCGAGGTGACGGACCCGGAGCTAAAGGCTACATTTTAATGGACGCTGTGAGCTTCTGGCTTGACGAAAGCCGTAAGTGAGCGAAGAGAACAAATGACTGTGAACTAAAAAAGCTAGCAAGAGTAATCTTTTCGCTCAGTGCCCTCGACGACATGAATTCACCCCGCGCCCATTTTGGCCTGTGGATAGATAAGCTGCTGTAGAGTAACTACAGCAAGGAGCCCAAAAGTGGTGAGAGATTGATTCTACTTCTCGAAGAAACCGGAACTCACGTATTCTGGGATACATTGGGAAAAGCGATGACCCCCCCTCTCTCGAAAGACACTATCATGGAAACCTAGCCAGGCTGTGTCAGGGCAATGTGTTACATTCTCCCCAGGCTTTTCTCAAAATCGACTTCTACATATCCGATGCTGGAAGGGCTATACCGTGCGTGTGTCTTGTTGACTCAATCGGTGGTAGCGGTCATCTGCGTAGATAGGAAGCTAGTAAATGAAGCCAAAAGCTAATAGACTGCTTTGCTGAAAACCACCTTGGATGGAGCATTGGTAATTAAACACTGAAGGACAGGTGCGTACCACGGGTAGCAGAGAATTCTGGACTTTTGTCCCAGACTTGCGCAGATTGTGAAGAAATGTATATATTAATTACTTAATAAATTAGATGGCACTGTTGCATCTTGTGTGCTATGCCGACTGGGGCAAATGGCCCATCAACCTCGAGTCCAAGCCAAAACGATTCCCCAAGCCCGTTTAAAGACAGAAACCCGCTCATGGCCGGCCGAGCTTAAACTCCACAGGAGAACTCCATACAACGGCCACAGCTTGCATGGTGACGCCCTATATAAAGTCTGGGGAAGTGTGCAATTACTAGAGGCGCAAGGGAAGTTAACACACTACTAGGACGTAGCAAGCTAGGAATGTTAGGAGAGTACTTACAGGCTAGAGTGGTAATGTATTAGTTTTCGATACATATTAATATTCCTGTACTGTCAAAAAGTAGCACTTACAATCTAGCGTGGAATATCAGCATACTGCGGAAATATCAAGCTAGTAATATTAGGTAGACACTTACAGTCTAAAAGTCGTAATATGTTAGGCTAGTAACTAATAGTATACTTTCTCTTAGAGAAGAGTACTTACAAGCTAAAATTTCATAGACATTAGTATACAAATAAGTAGTAGTATAGTTGAAAGAGCAGAAATAATACTTACACCGCACTAAATTATAAAATATATTAGTTTGTCACTAAATTATAATCTTTTTGTACTAAAGAGATAGACTCACAGCCTAGAGAAGAAATGAAAATTAGTATAGAACTCATCCTGATATTAGTTAAAGTAGAAGACACACTCACCGCCTAGTATTTGTTAAAGAAATGAGTACAGTAGTATTATTTTGGTCGTTGAATAATAGTTGGCACTTACAATCTTTGATAAACATGTTAGTAGCCTATAATATACTTATAGAGTGATAGTGTTGGAAAAAGCACTTACAGCCTAGTATTGTTGGAAATTAGCGTACAACTGTAGTAATAGACACCAGACACCTTGAGGCGAGTACTTACAGACTAGTGTTACCACATACATTAGCATGTTGCAAGTTACTATACGCATTGCCTGAGGTAAAACACTTACAGTCTTTATTTGTATGATGATTAGTACTAATAGCAGTTATACTGTTATAAATCTTTGAAGGTACTTACAACCTAGAGTTGCAGGTGAGTAATTCAGCTACTTAAAAATGCGAATTAAATTATAGGAGACTTACACACTAATGTGCATATTAACATAAGCTTATTTCACTATATTAAAATAATAGAAATAGCACTTACAGCCTAAAGGTATATTTCATTAGCGTGTGTCGAGGAGAGATTCTGTTTAATAGAGGAATAACGCTTACCGACTAGAATAGATAAGCTTTATTAGTACATTACCTATAACCTGCATTGTTACAGGTATTTAAATACTTACAGTCTAGTATTAGAGCACATGTTAGCATACTTTCAGCGATAAATACAGAATATTACAATAGAGGTACTTACAGTCTAGCATTATCAGACGCATAAGCATATTGCCAGTAGAATTATAGATGTAAAGTTAATAGTAACAACTTACACACTATAATTGTTATACGTGTTAGTAGAGTTCGTAGAATTAGAGAATTTTCTTATATAGATAAGATACTTACTTTCTGAGAAGACAATATTAGTATGTACCTTGAGATTATAGTGAACCTTGAAAAAAATACTCACAAGCTAAGGGTAACTTATGTTAGTGTCCGTACTATAATATAGATAATTACTATATAAATGTAGGGGATACTTACAAGCTAATATTGCAACGTATCAGCGCGACTATCAAGGCACAGTTAAGCAAATTGTATCCCCTAGAATGCTTACAGTCTTGAGATACTTGTTAGCAGTAAGATATTAGGAAATTAAATAGACAGAGTACATACAGGCTACAAGAGTAATATGCGTTAGTATTTTGCTAGTTATTTTATTTAATATAGCAGACACTCACCAGCTAAAAGTCGTATGTCTTAGTATCTTACTAGACAGGTAGCATATTGCAGCTTCTGATAGAGATGCTTACAGCCTAATAGTGTAATATAGTATTAGCAGAAGAATTAAATACTTATATATAAGCTATTTTTAGTGTAGTACTTACTTTCTGTGGTATTATTAGTATAACAATAACTACAAGTAGCGAACATGCTATTCGTTAAGAAAGAAATACGTACAAGCTGTAATAGTAATATATATTAGCAACTTTCTAGTTACCCAGCTAACGAGTTACAGAATATACTTACAACCTAAACATAAAGAGGGACATTAGTGTGGGCCGTTACTATGTAGTAATCTTTCATCTGAGAATAGACGTACACACTAGAATTATTGCAACGTTAGTATATCTTGCGTAGAAAGTAAGTATATTAAAGACAGTACTTACAGACTTGGTTCTCAGTTAGTAACAAAGATACTAGTCAGTCAACCGCTAAGATTACTTACGATCTGTAGTTCAGCTAGGTGTAAGTACATGTCGAGATATTACTTTTCCAACTCAAAATACAGGAGAAGAGGAATACCTGCGAAAGTTGCTAAGTTTGCGTTAGCGTAAAGCTCTTATTTCACCGCAGGACAAGTACAGAGACAAAGGTGGTCGCTTTGAACATACTCGCTTCTCAAGATCTTCAATGTTTTCCGTTGGGACTGCAAGTGCGAGACCCGCAAGAGGAACGAGCAACATAGTAGGCTTCATCGTGGCGGTTTCGGCGTGGTTGATAGTCAAAATAATAGGTAAAGTATTTAGTGATGTGCACTTGAGATTGATGAGTTTGAAGAAAACCTGTTGACTTGATAATCCGTTTGGACAGCGGCGGTATTTAACGTTTTTTATGACTGGGAATCGGGGACTGCGGTGGCGGCCTAAAACTGCAATTTTCAGCCGTCGCCAGTCATACGGCTCTGTCCTTGAAAGGGAGGCGCTTTGTGAACCCCAGCCGTGAAGATGTGACATCGTGGAGCACGCCACTGGAGCTGCTGCAGTGTCCTCCTTTATTTGGCGTCAATGGCGATGATGTCAATGCTGAACACTTAAGCGCCATGACCACACTCGGTCGAGCTGAGTATGTACGTGGTCACTCGCAGCGAAGCATGCCAGCCTTGGGAGTCATGATGGAGGAAGAGCTTGTACCGCGCCCCTCTTTGTGAGCCGCCCATTGCTAGCTGAATTTCAACGGGGGGCGGGCATTTCATTCAGGCTGGTGACAAGGTACGTTCCGGAGCGAATTGAGTTGATGATTGTCGATCGTACTGATATGGTCTACGCAGTTGGACTTGGAATTACCTTGATAGGAAAGCAGTAGCGACGCGCGCATTCCGGGGCTCGGCATGTAACGTCAGAGACTCAAAGCCTTGCTCCTTTTAGCCCTCATTGTCGAGCAAACGACTGGGTGCTTTGGCCCGACGGGCTGGTCCAAGTTCGAGGCACCCTGGCGTCAGACTCGGGGGCTTACATGTGCGGCTGACTGCCACCAGGCCATGACACTGACATCACTTGAGCTGACGGCGATCGGTCCGTCAGTTCGTGTGCACGCTCAATCGGCGGGAAGTTACCAGATAGTAGACGAACGGAGTCTGATGGGCAAAGCCGCTCCGGTGCCGTTGCAAGATAAGAGAGGAAACAAGTGAATCTAATGTGCCTTGTTCTGTCTCTGAGAATGCTCCTACGCCGGAGAGATGTGGCGTCTCCTAAATATTACGCACAGATTATATTATACTGCGGAAATCGAATCGTGCAATGCTGAGGCCGCCGTTGGCATCACGTGACGACCCTCAACGCCAGACCTGGCTGGCCCAAGCCTGAGCGCCACAGGAACTAGCCGCAGTTTCTTGGGGAAGTTAGCCAACCAAGGCCCAAAATGGACATGTATGCCGATGTGATTGCTAGATGGTGTAAAATTGATGCTGTTGAGAAGGGTCCAGCCGTTTCTATAACAGGAGAGCGAATGCTAACCACTTTCCCAAGAAGGAGCATGCATAAGGAGAAGAAAAGTCCATAAAGGAAGCCGACATTGAAGCAAAAAGGGCAGCCAGACGAGTCGACGGGCCTCCATAACAAGTTGCAAACCGCACATGCATTTCCATATTTCATTCTAACCCGACTGGTGCCACCCGCGCCCCGCCCCCGCCCGCCGCCCCCCCACCAGTCCGGGACTCCAATACCCGACCAGGCAACGCTGTCTGGCGGCAGCAGGCGCCGGGGCCGGGGCCGGCGGGGCCAAAAGTGGGGCGTGGCGACGTGTTGAAGCCTCGACATCAGCTGATGACTGCATTGACTTGCAACACTCCCGGCTACATTGAAGGTTAATTGCCACGCTCGGAGCGTGCGTTGGAGTCACGTCTCGTGCCACGCCGCGGAACATGCTCCAATGCGGTGTGATGTTACATTCCTCACGTCGGCATATCTGCCAGATAAACTTTGAGGGGAGCAAACCTGACATCGACCGTGAGGGGACGCCTCAACGTCTGCATTCCGGACTAAAATATGTGGCATGGATTTGAATGAGCATGTGAAATGTTGCTAATATACGTGCGTCTCGTGGCAATTCCCGGAAGAACCGCAGCGCCCCCCGACGCTATGGATATAGAACTCTCTGCAGGAGGCTTTGATGCCTCAGGTCAGCAGTGACGGGTGTATTCGACTAGAGGCCGGTCACTTGGTGCAGATTGAATTGCTAGAGGTGGGACTCCCTTGAAGCCATTGCTGTTGATGTCGGCTCACCAATCCATTTTTACCTGCGCCCCTGTACTTGCGCACATAGCCTGCAGCTCCTCTTGCCGTTGGTCGGAGACAGACGCAACGCCTCTCGGAGAGTAGTCCCAGTTGACCCAGCTCTCCAACGGACACAACAGAATTGCGTGTTGGCCGGCTCATGGGCCCCCTGCTTTGTTAGGTAGTGTGGCGAAACGACGGCCAAAGTGCACTGTTTTCGGCCACGACGCAGAAATGTCATGGCAGTATAGGAAGGCGTCTCTCGGGAAGTTCCTCCGGCCCTGGCTTTTGTGGTCGTGCACTCACATGTGGTTGAACGCCAGGAAAATAGCGACGCACTGCCATGGAGCATCCGCACCTGGAAGTCAAGCGGGCGGGAGGGGGGTTGAGAAAAGCTAAAAAGGTATACTGCGTGCGCGGCCGGCACCTACTGCAGTAACAGAGTATATCATGTGATCTGTAGCTGAGCAATAGTGGGCTAAAGAACTGCCAGCTTCATTCGATGCTTATTGGAGATGGTTAGGCAGCGTGCACTGGCGGCCACGCTATTCCAAGGGACTCGTCGGAAGAACATGGACGGGACACGACGAACAAGACATTGAACCGGAGGCAACAACTCGAACCCTCCCTCCTCTCCTTCAAGAAGCGCTTGCTGCGGCGGCGGTGCAAGGGACTTGAGGCCGGGCGGCTGATAGACTTGTGACCTTGGATTGTCGGTTTGACTTCGGCAGGGACCCACTCCTCGGGCCCGGTCCCGGTCTCCACTCGCCTAACCGTCCCGAAGCTTCCGCCGAGAGACCCGCTTTCTGTTGGACATTGATCGCAGCCACAGAGATGCGGCCGGTGATGAGTGAGCTGAGCTGGCTTGCAGTCTTGGCGTTGTTCTCTGCTGTAGCCGGCAGTGATGATCAAGTTCAGCACTGAGACTTCCCTTGCTGACCACCACGGAGCCTCCGACCATTCCGCTCTGCGCCAAGTCGATGATGCTTGGTGGTATTGGGATTGATTGATTCAGTCGGCATTGAGGCCCTGTGCTCTTATGAACTCTCCCCGTCACTCAACTTCAGCCGTAGGTCCTGCTTTTGACACCAACTCCAACTGTTCAGTATTTCCACATGGTCATTGTTACTTAGGGATATCGGGATACTTGTTGGAAAACTCAACAAGTATAAAATGGCGCCAGCCGCTTTTGGTGTCTCCTCAGTTGCGGCCGAGACGGCCGAGACCGTCGTTTCGGATCCGCCGACATCTACCTCCAAGTATGAGGTGGCCAAGTTGCAGCTGGCTCTTCGCCAACTGTTTCAGATTCTGGAGAGGAAGAACCGAGATCAATGGAGCCAACATCTACCGACGTCATGGGAGCTGACGAAGAATATCCATCGAATGATTCGCCAGGGCAGGACGGCAACGCCCAGAGCAATGTTACACGCAAAAGCCTCAGCCACATGACTAGCTGCAATGCACAAAGGTTGCAGCTATCACGATGCCCTCATAGATCGCTAGTGGGCTCGGACGCTAAGGCATCCAGGCAATAAGGCACAAAGGGCATCACCCCTTTATTGCCTACTCAGGCTACACACACAAGCACTTTTATGTATATAAAGCCCTCAATAGTTGGGTCTATCAGGTTTTTAAGGAACAAAGGATCTTTGAGACCCTATGATATTATACGTGAATATAAGTTATCCGCTCTAAGACTTGATCTCTTTGACCAGTCCTTATTACAAGAAATGAAGAGAAAACGGGGAGCACCTGGAGATCAAAGGAGGCTGACGATATTTCTACGATGAGCCCATTGGACAACGCAGCATATTGCGTGCACATGAATGCATTCCTGAACGAAGCAGAGAAATATCACTGCATCGACGGACGAGACGAGCGCAGAGTATTTCTTTTGTCATGCAGGCATACCTCCGTCTCATGGAAGATGGGTGTGTTTCATTCAATGCTGGTCCTGATTCTGGTTTTGTAGAGACTGATGATGCAATCTACTCGGGCTTGCGGCGCCAGAGGACGCAAGCATGCTCCGAAAACGACGCTCGATGGACATCGATAAGACGGACGGCCCATGGCAGCCAGGCACATTGGGATCAGTGAAGGAGAAAAATGCAGCGCAAACCATGACAAAGCTAAGCAGGACGACTTGGGAACGACTTCAAACGCGCAAGTATGAGGGCGGGAGGCCGATGAGTGAGGAGCACACCATCGACGCCTTGCTGGGCAGCCTAGCCATCCCGCATGACGTGTGGAGGGACCGCGTTGCACGGAAGAACCCGACGCATGTTGCAGAGAAAACCCGATGCAAGCTGTTTCAGATGCTGATCAACCTACAGGATCCCGCCGAGAAACCTCAGCAGGAGAAGTCGCCGGATCCAAAGGGAGTTTCCGCCCTCCCATTCCAGACCGGATCCGGATCAACGGCGAGCCCTCGGAGCAGCTGATTGAAAAGGCACGGGACGTGTTTGAAGGACGGCCTGATGGTGCTAATCGAGCCTTCAGGCTTCAGGTTGAACTTTACACGCCGATCCGGAGTGCCGGCAGACTCGAACGGCAAAAGTACCAATGAGAACAGAGACGACGCGGAGCGCAACGAGCTACTCGACATGTACGGGACCGAGCAGGCTTACAAGGAGCCGGCTGTTCTAATCGAGTTTATGAACAACTACCTCTGCACTTCGCGGACTTCTCCGAGCTGTGGCCCATTTTCCAGCAGGGCATCGACGTCATCACGTCATCCAAACCAACCAGCGCTTACCGCGTGTTTCACATCACCGGCGGGCGACCGTATCAGGATTCAGGAGGAACAGTGAGCCCAACGACTTCGTGAAGCCAGATCGGATGCCAGAAAAGTTGAGCGACTTTGTCGTCGACTGCCACGGGCGGGCAGGACAAAGAGGAATGGTGGCAGAGCAAGGACAAGCACAAGATCGAGTTTGGCATTCCGCCGCCCACCGGTGCCAATAGAGCCGAGGTCGTCATAGTGTCGAGCGGTGGCTGGAAAGCAGTTGAGTGCTGCGAGAACGACGACATCTTCGACGACCTGGGCCTCGATCATCGGCGCATGGAAAACTCCCTGCCGCAAAAGACGCTGCTGACGACCGATGTCCGCTACCTCGGTGACGATGCGTCCCAAGTCCCCACGGAGGACCTCATTCTGTTTCTGCAGCGGCTCTCTGCCAAAGATCACAAGTGGGGTGAGTTTGGCCGCCGAGCCGACAATCAGAGTGACGATGGCGCGCTGACATGGGAAAAATGAAGCCATTGTCGGCATCAACAATGTCAAGAAACTTGCCCCGCCGTCGGGTGAAGCATCGAGGTCTCTGGTCCTGCTCGCCGGCCACAAAGACATGGAATACTTCCTCGTCCAGGCACATTTCCGCCGCATGCATCACGTAGGCGCAGAAGACGAGATGCAGGCCGATCTGGTCCGCGGCAAGGGTACGGGCCATACACCAAGACACCTCATCCCGAGCTAATGAGCAGTTACTCCACGTCACGGGCAAAGGGCTCATCATCCTCCTCCAAGGGGGTCCGGGGTGGGCAAGACTTCGACGGCAGGTATGAGTACCATGCTCATCAAGGCCAACGCACCGAGCTGACATTGCACGGAGAACGTGCGGCGGAGTTGTGCAAACGGCCTCTGTATCCCATCACCTGTGGCGATCTGGGCATCAGGCGAGGGAGACTGCCAGTCCATAACGGAAGTTCCCCAAGTGACGTACGGAGAAGAAGCTTGCCAGGCGTTGATGAGTAGTGCTGTCGTCGTCGACAACGCGGGCGATGGCGAAGCAATAGTCTAGTTTCTTTGCCGTCCTTCGAGTTTATAGTACATTGTCCCAATCAAGTACAAGAGCCTGTCCCAAGCATTATGCACCAGGTGTAAAAGTCCTGGAGACGGGCCACGGTTTCTTTGGTCGGCCGTATCGCGAAGAATCCTGTTTGTGGATTTGGCCATGGCCATGAGTCTGCTTGCGGTCGCCTTGGTCTTTGTGCGTCCGTCTCGGCTGCTTGTCCGCGCAGGAAGAGGAGCCCTTGGTGAGGTTGAACTTGTGCAAATCCAAGGGCAACTTGATTCCCCGAAGCTTAAATCGTCGACGCAGGGCATAGCCTGGCATAGATGTAAAGTAGTTACAACGACGCACAAGCTGCCCTGGCACATGCGTCCATCCACATGTCCGGAGGTCGACCCATGTCTACCAAATAGAACTCCTGTTTGTCGAGGTGCAATTACTGCGTCATGACGTCACGGCTTGCCTCGTGGTGTTTGTGAAGCCGGCCGACTCTTCCCGGCCGTGACGCAAGCTTCACGCAATTATACCTTGTGGCGGCTTTGGAAACTCGTACAGAAGCAGACTGAGCCTTTTTTCTTGTTCCTGTTCCGGGTGACAACGCACAGAGACCACACATGTGTGCGGACTTGGCTCGACGTTCTCGACCGGAGCCGAAAGCGATCTGCCTCCGCATCGCATGCCACATTTCCTTCGTCTACAAGCTGCCGGGCCGTACCCAGTCTCGATGGCTTCGGACTCGGAAGCGGACTGGCGACTAAAGCCGCCGTACAAACCACCCGGTGGCGGAAGCCAGTTTCAGCGCGCGATCCGCGGCTCGTGTCATTGCAAGAAAGTTGTATACTGGATAGGCAGTCACCGGCCATTGGCGTCCAAGTTTTGCCACTGCCCAGACTGTCAAGTGATGCACGGTAAGGCCTCTGCCGGCCGGGTGCTGCTCCCTGGAACTGATGTATCTATCCGCGAGAAACCAGGCGCCCCGTTTCAGTGGGCTGCCATCTTTCAAAAGTCCGACGTAGCTTTCGAGACGGGGGCGGAATACCTCAAGTTTTACCACTCCGCTACCAAGGAGACTCGTCACAAGCTCCCTTGCAAAGTTGGCTGTGTGTTTTGCGGATCACACATCATGGATGAAGGGAGGAACACGGCGCTTGTATTTCCGCCGTTGCTGTCATTGACCGCTGTGCAAAGACAAAACTTTGAGGTCCAGTGAGTAGTTACGCTGGCACCCTTGACAGCAAGTCATCTGACCAACATGAGGTGTCACATCTTCTACTCCCATCGCTGTGTCGACATCGATGACGGGAAACCAAAGTGGTCTGGGTTGGACGGACAGTCGGAGCTCCTTCAAGGATACGGTGTTGCCCAAAAATAGAAACCGTTGGAACGGGGGTTGCTGTTCTCGTTCGGGTCGTCCAGCTACTGCATGTTCCAGAAACAGGTAGACAAGTGTCGAAAGCTTGTGCAACACCCACCGAATTTGCCATGGGCAACAGATGCCAAACTCGGTCTGCCGCTGCAGTCGTCTGTCCTTGGTACTTCTGCTATTGCTAACAATATGAAGTTGCTCTTTCTACAATCTCCATGGGAAGCAGCGTCTGCGGTCCTTGCACGTTGGGGTGAGAGTGGTATCAGAATGACCCAGGAAAAAGTCATCCGATGCTTCAACTTTTCCACACCATCAACAGTCCCAGCATCGGATTCTCCTTTTGAATTCTGTATTCCTCCGCCGTCAGGTTGAACTGTTGGATCCATTTCTCCCCGAATCCCGTCTCTTCAAGGCCCTCGCCTCTCCATTCCAGCTTTCCTCTGAATCCCCCTTCTCTAGCGGCAGCCTCGTACACGGATTTCTTCATGTGCGTCGTCTCGAGGCTCATATTCTCCAGGTGTACACGCGAGGTCCAGCCCGATCCGTCGCCCAACTCCTGAACGTAGTCCAGACGCGGCCATGTTCGATCGAGCGGACACTGACTGTATGCCGACTTCCGCGCAGCCAGGTCTTCGGTGGGATGGGGCATCACTGCGGCGAGGACACCGTCGTCGGCGAGATTTAGCGCCACGGTGGCAAACATGGCCACCAGCTCAGACCTGCTCCGCGCGTAGTTGAGAAACCAGCTGGCAAAGGCGCGGTCGAAGAAGCCAATCGACTGGTCGGGCGCATACGACGTCTTGCTGGCGCCGTCCCCGAGCGTGAAGCGGACGCGGCCGCTGGCAACTTCACGCGAAAGGCTCTGGGACGCAATTCCCAGCATGACGGGCGAGATGTCCATGGCTGTCAGCGGGGAGGCGGTCCACGATAGCAACCTTTTGGTGTAGAATCCGGTGCCGCAAGCAAACTCGACGATCTTGTCATCCGGTCTAAGCAATGGCCGTATGACTCTTTCCACAATGGCAAGCTCTGTTTGCTTAAAAAGGAGCTCGCACACATTGAGGTACAAAGATCCGACCGAATCGTATTGGGTCATTTCGATTTCAAGTCTCGAGTCACACGTGCGTCAGATGCAAAGGGGGGATGGACGTCCAGCAACGACGGGGGCACAGGACAGGACAGGCTATGGATGTTGAGTGAGAAACTATCCGAGGCAGCGGGGGAAAAGAAAGGCAATCGTCACGCACTTGATTGATGGCTGAAAAAACGGCAAGTCATGACGGGAAACGGTGTAACGGGCGGAAGTGATGCAACGTCGCGGCACGCCCTTGTAAAATGTTACACGGGAAACAACCAACCACGATGACCTCAATCGGTCAGGAGACCTCACAAGGGCCAGCAAGGCGTGTAGGACCAATCAGGGGATCGTGAGCCTCAATGCTCAAGGCATTAGCGGTGAGAATACAGATGACTAGTCAGGTCCCCTAGATTGTTGAACCAAGGACCTTTGAGACCTCGTCGGTCGGGTCCTTCACATTGAAGAACCAAGGACCTCAGGACCATACGGTATCATGTGAGGATTTTGGCCTCCCCTCAACCACCCCCGGGCCTGGTAGGAACGCGAGAGTTGGTCAGCCGCGGGTGGCATGGCTCGAAACGCGCAAGACGTGGGAGGCGTCGTAGCGTCACCCAAGACGTTTCACAAAGAGGCCGGAAACGGCAGTGTGATGGGTCAGGAGAAGCAAATGCGAGAACCAGTTTTGAACTTCAACACGAGACGGCCAAACGGCGTCGTCAGCCAGTGATTAGTCGCCTTTCTTTGGTGCGCAAATACTCCCGAGCCTGATGAGCATTGCCCTGTTTACGCGAACATTCTGAAGCCACATTTTTCAACGCCAGAATGAACTCTTCCCTGGTCTGTTCTGGATCCGTGGTGCTGTTGGCCATGACTCGGAACAACATCTTCGGCCACATCCCCAACCGCGGGGAGCGCCATGCCACACGTGGCCATGGCTCGTCAAGTCAGTCTACCTTGTGCCCAAGTCGACCATGGGGGTAGAGGAGGGTCTGCAGCTCACAGGCTTGTACAACTCTGAAGCGAAACACTGCAAATGAAAGAGGCCGTTGTGAGTTGATGCGTCAGAAGACCAGGCAGACGTGTTTGTGAAGGCAGAAAGCGAGTCAAGTCGATGTTACCAGATGACTAGGCCAAAGCAAAGCTGCGTCTGTGGTTCCAAGACGGGTTACACAGTCATCTAGATCAACTCATGTACACAGCATCGTGGCGCGAGCGCTCTGTAGTCGGCAATATTGCGCCGCAGCAGAAGAAGGGGACAGAATTTCACTCCTCGTGGAGGCGCATACAACAGAGGCACACTCTCCTTGTGTCTTCTGCAGGCTCAATGCATCAAACCTGCTGCATATTGGTGACAAGCGAGGCTTGAGATGTTGTAGAAGCCAAATGGCCGCCGTGTACAGACGGCCAAATCCTCGAGCTGCCTACAAACAATCCAGACCCTAAGAGTTTAGCCAGGAGTGACGTCGCAAGGCGCGTTGAAGCCAACAAGGGATGATTCTCCAAGGAGAGCATGTAGGGCGGGAAACGACCTAATTTTGTAATGAAATCTCTCATCAAGCTCGTTACCGATTACCCTATTATTGACCCATCTTATAGTCGACAATTTCTCTGGAAATGAAGAGGTTACTGTTAACATTGCTATGACCCGCACAAACTTCCTTGTCAGGTAACTCGTTCGTCCATCACGACGCCATAGAGACGACAGAGGTTCAGTTGGTGGTCGAAATTTAGACCGGCCGCATGAATCTTCCCATGGACTTAAGCTCCCCAACAACCTGTACGCTGCTGCTGCAGGGTTTGCAGAAGCATTCAATAGCCTTTATCGATCAACATATCTCTTGGTGGCTCAAAGAGGGCATCTCCAGGGTCTTTATAACTTGGGATGATTCCAAGTGGATCATAAAAGGCCGTCCATGTCTCTAGTTCATCAAGAACGTCGTCATGAAATCGGACAGATGACGGCCAATAAGGTGACTCATCGTCGGAATAAGACGTGGGCAATATCAAGGTTCTGAACTAAAAATACCGGGAATAGATACTCTTGCACGGTGACTCGGCTACTCATGGGGTTCGTTGAAGGACCAGGCGCGAGCTCAGGGAAGAAGGGCTCAAAGGGGAGCATGGCCCATTTATAGACATTAGTGTCGTAGATGTTGTGAAGTACCTCATCGCCTGACTTGAGCACTTCCAGATAAGAGAGATGCTTGTTCGTCATGACGGGCGAATTGACAAACTGCGAGGGCGCACCTTGATGTAGAACACTGCCGTTTCGGCGCACCATGAAACGATATTACCAGGATTCAGCTTCTATATTGTTAGAAATATATTGCTATAATTTATCAAGGTAGCTACAGGTTTTGCGCCATACGACGAATGCCTTCATGCCAGGGCGTCAGGGGCTCTCACATGCCAACCCATGGCGATGAAATGACCCGTGGTTTGAGTCATCCTTGTCCGAGAATTTTCTTGCCGTGTCATTTTCCCTTCATCACTAATAATAGAGGAGAAGAGAAACCGGGTCGGGTCCAGAATGGAATCGGGGAGGGGTATCCGAGACGCTTCAATAACCGGCCTCACGGGCCGCGGCACGCGATTCTTGCAGAGAAGATGCAAATCAGCAAGATACGCCTCCGCGCATCGCGAGACAGGGTCCTTTGCCCGTGCCAACTTGGCGTGTGGCTCTTGTGACGCCCATACCGGGGGCGGACTCGGCATCTATTTTTGGAGAGACTTGGTCTTGGTCCTGGTCAGTGGTGGTGATATCGCAGGAATGGCGTCAAGGACCAACCAACCAACCTCGACACGCCGTCTTCATCTCCATTCAGCATTCAGGCTTTCGTAACAGCCATATGTCCGCCACGTGGCTCAGAGACCTGTCGCAACTCACAGACGGCAGGTCGACTCTCGATTCCGACAATCTGCGTCAGCTCGCGAGTGCTCTTCCAGCGGGGGGATCTTTCTGAAGCAGCAAACTGGCAGCCAGCGATTGTGGTGCCGGTGCGGTGGTTTCTTTTTCAAAGCCATGCGGCAGCATTCGTCTACATATGCTCGTGAATTCACGAGAACATTTTTCTTTGCTGCCCCGGATGCGAAGTACCGTCCGCCGGCCACGACACAGGCTTGCATGCACGCGTCTTCTCGCAACGACTGCGAAAAAGAAATGTCCGTCCACGGTGCCGTGTCCGTCTATCGATTGTCCCGTCCGGCTGAGACGAGCCGTCGAGTCCAGACAAACCACTCACGGGTCCTGGGGAAAAGCCACAATGCCAAAGCTCCCAAGCCTCGACGACGACCGCGCAGCACAGCCCATATAATATGTCATATCTGAGCTTGGACAGCCCGGCTTGCCATTGGTCTGCGTAGCAACGGCGTTGACCCCTTCAATTTTGTCGCCATGGCCGTTTTTTACTTACTTTGCATCGCTCGTCGTTGGCAGGTTGCTTTTTCCTTGGCTCCGCCCAATGCTTCCTTTTGATGCCCCGTGTGACGTTCAGCTTGCCAATAAATCACGCCCTTTCTCTTCTGTTTCCTCCCTACTGAGTTTTCGCGGCAAAGATTCGCCCATGTCAAGCCGCGATACTGGGGAGATTTGGTATTGCTGTCGTCTTGCCGCCAACATGCTGGTGGTGGTGGTGGTGGTGCTGGGATGGGCTCGTTTTTCGCCAGCGGAAACAATATAATGGCAATCGCTCCCAAGGGGAATCGTCTTTGTGCTTTTAGTTGTGACGCGCGAAGTCGAGCCGTTTGACTGCTGCTGCTGCTGCTGCTGCCGTTGAGTTGTTTGGTCAGACGCAACCTCTGCTTTTTGCTGTCCATCTCGCGACGTCAAGTCGACTCCCTCGGCGGGTGCGCCAGATACACAGCTCGTATCTTCCACTTGAATTCCAATCACAACTCTTGACTTTGGATAGCCGTCCTCACAATGTCCGAAGAAGCGCCGGTACCCATGGTCGGGCGGGTTCTGTGCATGGGCATATCGCTCTTGTCGGCTACGACCCTCGCTTCGTTTCTGAGTAAGTCACCTACTTGCCCTGGCCCTGCGTGTCCTTGGCCGCCGCTTAGGCTTGAAAACTCGCCAAGTCCAGCCGTCTTGAGCTGTATGCTGTACTGACACGCGTGAATGGTTGAAGCGCAGAGATGCTTGATCATCAAGTCGTGGACTCGGCTCCCGATTCTGGTGTGGTGTATGCGATCCCTCATGGTAACGACGTTTGCTCGCGTCTGACTTGGCGCTTGGCCGCAGTGGTCTTTGCAATTTACATCGATTCATACCTATTCGTCTTTGCCACGGCTATCCTGCAACAGTCCGTCGGCGTCAACTCGAGCCTTTCGACGTGCGAAGGGGCCATTTTGCTCTGTCTGGCGTGCTACGTCAGCACGAAAGTGAGTGCGCTCTGCCCGGACGTTGCATGCGTCCCGTTTGTTTCTTTTCTACGCCAGCTAACTAACGGCCACGGGGGACTGCTAGGTTGTGAGTTGTCGCCAAAGACGTGGACTATCTGCCGCCCACCGCTAACACACAACGTCCAAGTTCATCTACCTCTTTCTGGTTGAAAAGGCGGTACGTCTTGACGAAACACACAGATGCTAGTTCATTTATTTTTTTGCAACGCGGAAAACTGAAACATGCTCCCCGGCAGCACTTCGTGAGAGGCACTTCCAAGAAGAGAATGCGCTCCAAGCTGTACATGTTCAACTGTTTCGGCATGCTCGGACTGTACATCATAGTCGGCATCCTCAACGTCGTCTTGTAAGACAACCCCCCAACCGGACGTAGAGTGCAACGCCGAGCAGCTAACACGACTCGACTCGCTCGTCGTAGTCGCATAGCCAAGTTGGAAAACGGCGTGTGCGTGATCGGCATGAAGAGCGTTGCCATGATTCCGCTCCTCTCCTTCGACACGGTGGCCAATATTTACCTGACTATTCTCTTCCTCGTCCCGCTCCGCAGTTAGTTGCGCATGACACCCTTGCAGACACGGGCTCGGACGAGATCTGATCGACTCACGCACGTGTAGACCTTTATTCGTACCGTAACTTGCCCCGGACGCCGGCGACCATGAGGCTACGCGTCGCCGCGAGTCGGACTCTCTGCGGCGCAGTTGCCACGCTGCTCAGCAGTATAGTGTAGGTGCTGGCTGGGGAACGTTCTGCTCGGGCGACGTCTGACGCGGACATAGCAACATTGCCGTTCTCATGGCGCTCAAGGGAGAGGCAGGCTGGATCTGCCTGCTGTGCTGCAACTGCGACAGTAAGTGATTCTGCGTCTCGGCACCCGTGGCAGGATGCGTCTGACGCCAGAATGTCGCCAGTCTTGTTCTCCGCCGCGGTCATCCAGTGGATCACGTCCAAGGACAACGCCGGCACCTCGAGCGTGGCCTCGACGGACGGCGAGACCCACGGGCCGGTGAAGCGCAAGGCGGCGCGGGGGCTCCCATGCCGTGCCTTGCAATCCGTCTCTTCGGCCCCCGACAAGGAGTCCCTGTCCGCGACGGACCTGTGTTCGACCAGGAGCGCGGCGAATTCGGACGGCCCCCTCGGCTCGGGCGGCATCCTTGTGACGACGACCATCAAGACGGAGGAGATGGAACCGCGCGGCTCGAACAAGCCCCGTGATGCCAGGGACGGGACGACGACACAGGTGCACGACGCGTATGCCGCCGAGGAGGGCCGCGTCGTCTTCGACCGCAACGTCGACGACGGCTACGGCTCAAGAGCCCCGGGCGGCTGCGGCGCGTACGAGACAGTCATTGTCTCGGGGTCCGGCCGCGGTGCGCAATGAGTCGTGGCGCGTTTGCTTCTCGTGAATTTTGCGTGTTGCGGTCATGCGTGCCTTGCTGGTTCAATCAAGTTGACGTCGAGTGTTGAACAAACTGGACAGTAAACAAGCCCTTTTGGTTCAACTGAAGTGGCGTGGAATATTCAGAAACAAAAATTAAACAAAAGCCCGTTTCACCAGGTTGCTGTGACTTGCAAACACCAGGGGACTGGATAATATCATGTATATTAATTAACCAACGCAAGTTGGGTGCAAAAAATACATGCCACCAAGTGTCTTTGGATACTGCTTTCGAGTCCGCGATTGGCCGACGGCAAGGCGTTAGTTAGCACGGGGGACTGGTGCACGTAGGTCGGTCCTGTTGCAAGATGACGAGTGAAGAAGCGTCGTGGCTCGAAAATTGCAAAGGAGGGCATTTAGCCAAGTTCTCGCCGAGGCCGTGTGAAAGCAGCTCGGACGAGGCCTACACCCAACGGCATACACGTCAGCTCGGCTCTCGGCAAAGATTCGCGGCTGCCTGGGTGGTTTCGGGCAATCATCACCGTTTCCTCCTAGCCGCCAAGGACGGGAAGATGGGAGACGAAAAAGAAACTCATGTGGCGTCTCCGTTCGGGCCAACTCTTGGATCCGGAGCTCCGTCTCTCCTCCCGCCCGACATCATGGCATGCCGCGCGTCAGCCGGACCCGGGACGGCAAGAAAAAAACGCAAACGAAGAGTGGAACAAGAAAGAAAGAAGGAGAAAAGAGAAGACTGCCAAAAACAAAAGCAACGACCTGGCAAACCTCGCTTCTGCATCCACGGCAACTGGGCGCCGCCGATGCCAACATGTCGGCCAAGGTCATCCTGCCGCTGCTCTCGCTCTCCGTCTTCTACTTCATCTTTTACTTTTCCCACGTCAACGGCCTCCGCGCGCTGGGCGATGCCGCGCAGCACGCGGCCAAGCTGCCCGGCCTTGATGAGCCGCTTCGGACGCGCTACACGGGCCTCGCCCACGTCGACCACTTGCTCGCCACCTTGACCATGTTTTTCTGGCCCGTCGGCGATGGGAGCCAGCCGGGGCTGACGCTGCACTCGATTGCCTTTTCGGGGACCTTTGCGTCGGCCTGGATGCTGGTGACGCTCGAGTCGTGGAGGAAGGGGAATGCCCGGAGCGTGGCCGCCTTGTGAGTCCTGACTCCCGACTCCTGACTCCTCACTCGTCCGTCGAACAAGTCGTCGTGACACATCGGCCTCGATGTGAATGATGATTCTCTCGTGGCTAACTGCTGTCCGTCCCGGCCACGCTCCAGCCCGGCTGTCTTCGGCCTCGTCGCCCAAGTACTCACCTTCGCCTTTGCCACTCCTCTCTACGCCTTCCTGCACCTCACGTGCTCGGGCACGGCGGCAAAGCCAACGACGGCCAAGATGCAGATTCCTCCCGTCGTCCTCAGGGCGCTGCCTCTCGTCTTCACGGTGGCCATGCACGTTCCCTCCCTGCTCATGCTGGTCCCGCTCTCCGAGACCATGACTCACGACTTGAAACAAATCTGCATCGCCATCTGGCAGCCGTGGCCCGCGTACGTGGCCGTCCTCCTCGTCGCAGCCAACGCGATGTGCGCGAAGCCCCTGCCCGGCGCTAGCACCGGCAACGGCACCCAAGACACGGCGGGCTCCCTGCGGTTCGTGTACGCCTTTGCCTTTGCCAGCACGGCGATTGCGCACCTCGTCAGCATCATCATCTCGGCGGCCACCGTGGCCGTGCCCAGCATCTTCCAGGAGCGCCATCGCGCGTCCCTCCACCCGCGCAGCGTCTTTGCCACGCCGCTGCCCTGGGCGTCGCCCGCCCTCGAGGTGTCGACTGTCGGACAGGGCGTGCAGGTCTTCCTGCGATGGGACTACATCATCGGGTCGGCGGGCGTCTTGATCTGGGCGCTGAGCCTTCACCAGAGCGCGCACCGCGCCGCCGGCGTCAGGCCGTGCTCCTCGGGCCTCGTGGCCAAGGTCGTGGCCTTGTCGATCCTGTGCGGCCCTACCGGCGCCGCCGTCGAGCTCATGTGGGAGCGAGACGAGCTGTTCCTCCGCGACGCCGCTGCCGACAAGGCCAAGCCCGTGGGCGCCGCCAAGTCGTGAAGAGTGAAGCGTCGAGCGCTGCTTTGGGCCTGTCCGTCCCATCTGCCGCCTAAACATGTATCATGTATCATGTGTGCGTGACTGTGCAGTCCATGAGTTGGATGGGTGGGTTGTCTCGGATGTCCTGTCTCGACCGAGGGCAACGACCTGCACGATATGGAATGGAATAGAATGGAATGGAATGCTATGCTCTGACTGTGGCAGGACATGTCATATGATGTGCCAGCAAGAATTCGGCTTGAGCAATGGCACTCTATTTTCTCAAACCTGCGCCTGACGTGACATGCGTGATATGCCCGGTGAACGGTGCGGTGCGTTGTAGGCTCGGCAGATTAGACCTTGGCGTCAAGACAAGCTTCCTATATACGGTCATCATGCGCCAGCCATGACCACGGTCCAAGAGTCAAGTGGCTTGTAAGTTGTGACGTCGGCGAGACCGGACCATAGCGGCGCGCGTGAATTCCTATAAAACCCCGTCGCCTGCTGGTGCGAAGACGATGACGGGGTCGCCAACTCGGTGTCCTCGCTGGGAGGGCGACGGACGGGCAAAGCAAGCAAACGCGCCGCGACGCAGGGAATGCCTCGCGCCCAGCCGTCACTCAATATCCCTTCTTTCCTTCCTTCCCTCGCCTGAGGCAGGTCATGCGTCGGCGATGATCGAGACAAGACTCTACGCCGGCCAGGCACAGGAATCAGGCCCAAGGGATCATCCAAGATCGCCGGCGCCACGCGCGGCCTACCGAGTCCTGCTGCCGCCTGACGAAGCAGCAGCGCTTCTCCGCAGCTCGCATAAACTAGCGACCAGTGTTCCGAGACACACGGCTGTTTCACAGGCTTGGGCTTGGGCTTGGACTTGGACTTGGACTTGGGTGTGCTTCTTCCGCTCGTGTACGTGCTGCTGGGCTCGCAAAGATTGACGAGCTGACTGAACACGCGGAATCACGGCGGAACCAAGTCTTGCCTGTTGACTCTTGACTCTTGACAACCGATCAAGATCAAGCAACGAATCATCCCGACGGCGCTGCTGGTCGACCATCGCAAGTAAACCGCATGTCGCTTGCTAGTTTCGCAAGTTGACGCACCTACACTCCGTACTGTCGGGGTGTTTTCCTTGAAAAATGGGGGTCACGGACACCAAGACGTATCCTAGTCAGGCAAACTCGACAAGGAAGGGGGGGGGATGAAGCCGGCATCCCACCAAGCAATCATACATGCATGGCCTTGATAACGATGCCGGTCTGAGCCTCTGAGGGATCTCGCAAGCAGGCAGGGAAAGCCAGGCGAAGCTACCCAGCCAAAAGCCCGTGGGACGAGGAGGAGGAGGAATGTAACATGTGAACCAGACTTTGGCTTCCCGGTCACCCATCTAGCTCGCATGGGCCGAAACAAACGTCGGCAGGACATTCTTCTCTCCTTCTGTTTCCGGCCACTGCTTCACCAGACGTCATGTCATGTTGGAGGGGGGGGTGGGAGTTTGGCCCGACGCAACCGTGCAACCTTCAGTCCGTCAATCCATCAATCCATCCGTCAATCCGTCAGTCTTGTCGATTCGAAGCTCTTGCCACGGCTAGCTGGCGAGTCCGGTTCCGAGAGACGTCGTGTCGCTCCCTCTGCCTTCTGGAAAGAAGAGGGTCGCAAGCCGCCGCCGCTTTGCGCCCGGCACCGAGAGCTGCCTCCACCGGTCCCAGGAACAGACTAAACGACACAGACGCCAACTGCCAGACGTCGAGACGGCCTTGCCCTTGTGCCTGGCCATCCGAGCACATCTTGGGCCCCGGGTCGCGTCGTGGCGGCAGATTAAGAGCCGTGACGGCTTGAAAGTCCAGCGTCCGAGGCGCATCGCAGCAGGCGCACCATCCATCATCATCATCATCATCATCATCATCATGGGCAAGTAGCTGCCGTACAACTGCCGAAGCCCAAACAAATATGCGGCGCGCTGGCGACGGGAACGCCCTGCTTGGCTGCCGAGCCGAGTTCAGCCTCCCGTCCCTCGTTTGCAAAATTGTCTGTTCAGAGTTTAGGGCCGATCCAGACGCCGCCGCCGCCTCAGAGTTGGCCGACAAGACCCCGTGCGTCGACGGGAGACTAGGCGTCGCATCCATGGCCTTTCACCAACGGGTAAATATAATATCAGTGTTTATATGGTTCCCCTCCCACGTTTGTTCCTGGCCCGTTTTCGCCCGTGCCTCGGATTGCACGGCTCGCTGTGACTGCTTGGCTCCCTTTTGGCCGGCGTCTCGCGAGTAGATGGACACTCAGTGCTTGCCAACTACTAGTCCGACTTCCTGTCTCACGCAGGGATCTTCTATTCTACTTTGACTAGTACCTGCGGGCCTTCTATTGTTGGATTAGGCAATGCAACGCACTTGTTCCAGTGCAGATGTTGCCGCACGTCGCCATCTCGAGACTCCATTTCTTATCAATCCAACTGTGCAGATCTCCCCCTTTCCGGCGGGGACGGAAAATAAAAGAGATTCAAGCTTATGCTAGCAGTTTCATGGTCGCCGCCGCTTGCCAGGGGCGCCCTCCCCGGGATCATCCTATCAACGACGAGACAGCCGGTGCGCACGCCCTCGGCATACGCATGTGCAAACATGACGCTTGGCCTCCCGGTTCCGCGCGACGTCAGTCTCTGAAGAAAGGCGTGGTGTAATGGAAGGGTGACTGGTGTAACGTCCCTGCGTACCGAGTACTCCGTCGAGTAGTGTCAACCACGCCGTGGGAGCCGGCCATGCTTCTTCAGGGGCCATGGCCCGTCACTGTCCATGATTATGAATCGGCAACGCGTGGGCCTGCCCGCACTTTCAAAGACACTTGTTCCGGAGAATTCAACGCTTCGTATATGATGTATTCGGTGGGGGAGGGGTGTGTGTGTGGAAGCATGGTCGCAATCGTCGAGGCTGCCACTCCCCCTGGTTTGGTGGTTTGGTAGCATGTCCCGTTGCCAGATACCCATCTGCGCCAGACACTTTACTAACCACGTTGTAGAGGACTGTGACGTGCATCTGACCTCTTGTATGTCCAGCCATCGAGGGGGGCCTGTCAAGGGGAGCCTGTGTTGCAAAGAATCACCCACCTACGGGCTAGGACGGGCTCGTCACGGACTCCCCAGGTACGATATATAGGCGTGTAGTGTGCAGATTCGAGCCCACCCTTTGAAGCAGCCTCCTCCTGTCACAGATTTTATACAAGGTCAACTCTAGGTCCAATCTGTGCAACCGGCGGGCCGTCCCTGCTTGCTTCGGGGTGCACCTGGCCGCTGATACCTAATCTTCGAGGCTCACGAGTCAGGAGTCACTTGGGAAAGAGCATCCACGGCCGACACCGTCCTAGCATCTCTCTCGTTCTAGTCATGAAACTGTCCCAGGCCTAGGAGGTAGCCAAGTCTTTACACTCTGCCAGTACACACTTGGCGTCACGAACCATTCGCTCCGTCGGCTCTGGGTACGATTGTCAGTCATATCTCAACAGCCTGGGGCGAAGGCTGCACACGAAATCATCTCAAACGAACAGTAATCAATAGTATCTTGCCTCGAGGATCACGTTTGGGGACTTCTCGACGAGTTTCCACCGCACGCAATTCAGCCGGTACAGGCGTGTCGCAATACGCAGCTTCATCCAACATGGCGACGACGGGCGACGACGAGGCGAAGCTGCGCAGGCTTGCCATGCGCGCCAGGCGAAACGAGCAGGCGATATTGTGGTTCATGGTTGCTTTGGGCGCAATGGCTCTTGCCTACATAGGCTTTTACTTGACCAGACAGTCAAGCCATTGGATAAGAAGAACATCTCGAGGCGCGACGCCGCCGTCCTTCCTTGCTGTCGTGCCTAGGTATGTGTATATGTGTAGCTCGGCCTGCTTCCAAGTCGGCGTTCCAACTCACTAGTTTGTAGAAAAATCAGGAAGGTCTTGATTCAACGTGCCATCGGGACACCCTCGCTCGGCCACGCAACCATCATCATCATGTTCATAGCCCTCAATCTGATTTGCCTCTTTGCCAAGTTGGGCACGAGTGGCAACGTCACGACAAACATTGCTTCGCGAGCAGGCTGGTAAGTATATCTGCAAATGTATCCCCACGTTTTCCGAGGGCTGACGGTTCCTAGGTTGGCGATAGCAAATCTCGTCGTCGTCATATTCTTTGCGCTCAAGAATACACCGCTCGCTTTCCTGACTGCGTGGTCATACGAACGCCTCCAATGCCTCCACCGCATCTCTGGTTACGCTGCCGTCGCGAATTTGATTGTCCACGCCACTTGCTACATTACCTACTTCTGCAGCAATCAAACCTGTGGCAAACTGCTGAAGCCGTCGGACATCTACGGCATGGTTGCGGGAGGCTGCTGGCTGCTGCTCGCCTTGGCTGCCGTTTCAATCCGTCGCTGGTGGTATGAACTGTTTTACTACCTTCACGTTGGCCTCTGGGTCGTTTCCATAGTTTGCATTGGCTTGCATCAACCTCGAATGACGACCAAGATTGTATACGGCACCATGATTGCCGGCTCCATGTGGGGTCTAGATCGCATCATCCGGTTCGTTCGACTCATGATGAACAGCGCCAACACGGCAACGCTTGCACCACTGCCGAACGGAGGCACTCGAGTCACCCTGGCCAAGTCTCCCCTGGGTGCTCATTCCGGCAAGCACTGCTTTCTGTGGATTCCTCGGCTTCGTTTGTTCGAAAGCCATCCGTTTACCATTGCATCGACTGACCCCCTCGAGTTTGTCGTTGCGTCTCACAGTGGATTCACCGCAAAACTGCGCGAGTACGCCGCTGAAAACCCCGGCATAACTCTTAAAGCGTCTGTTGAAGGGCCATATGGCACGGTCCCAGATCCCTCGGCCTTTCAGACGGTGGTTTTGGTCGCTGGCGGTAGCGGAGCCAGCTTCACCTTTGGCTTGGCTAATGCGCTGTTGAGCCGTGCCAAGGGAGGCATTACGAAGCGTGTTATCTTTGTGTGGACGATCAAATATCATTGTACGTCTCTCTCGGTAACAAGAAATGAATTGCACGAGTGACTGACTGACCACGACTCAACCGTCTTCGCAGCGTATATGCAATGGTTCGCCGACCATCTTGCTAAATTGAGAGATGACCCCCGATTCGCAATTCAGGTCTTCGTCACGAGATCGGAACCACCACTGCCGCAATTGCCAGGTGGTTTCTCGGAGTATTCGCCAGGACACGCCGAGAGGTATATTGCTAAACACGCCTTCATGGACAGGGAACGAATCCATCACATCCGTCCCATGGGATCACTAGCCACGATCGACCTGGAAAAGGCTCAGCCCCAGTCAGACGACGAGTCTGTTCCTCCTGAGAGCTCCTCCTGCCCGGTGGACTTGCGCGGCATTCCCATCAGATACCAGAAGCCCAATGTCGTGGCACTCGTCCGCGACGTAGTAGGCGGCACTCGTGCTGAGGAGCGAGTTCTCATCGCTGGCTGCGGGCCAAGTCGGATGATGGACTCGATAAGGGAGACGGCAGCGGAATGTATCCGGTCGGACGGGCCCAGCGTCGAGCTGCACTGTGAAGAATTTGGATGGTGAAGAAGAAGAGAAAACCCAGTTAGATACTTTGACGAACTTGGGATGCGAGGATCTCCTGGAACGGATGTGTAGTCACGAGTAAAGGCGTTATGGCGGGCTTCAATTACCGAAAAGATACGGAGTAGAATTTACGCACTCGCTGGCTGATGTAGTGCAATTTCATCGTGACGGCATATTCGTCGCTGTGCCACGAGTCCACAACCGAGACGTGACGGTGCCAGTGCGACGCCAAGGGGGAGGGAGGAGGGCGGAGGGGTGGCGGCCCGAGGGAGGGAGTCGCCCAGTCAACGACGAGTCACGACTCACGACTCACGACGACTACGGTCGCACATTGCAACCCGAGCCTCGTCTGGCTCGTCAACGCTCAACGCCAACCCTCGAACCGTGACATGCCGCGTCGAAACACCACCACCACCACTGCCTTGACCTCCACGACCCATCGTCACCAGAAGCCCATGGCTCCGAGGCTCTCCATCCACCCGCCGCTGCTCAACACCGCTTGCCCCTGGGCAACGACGCCCGACCACCTCGAAAGCCTCCTCAAGTGCCCCTCGACAGGCGCCATCACCACCCGAACCAGCCTCATCCAGGGCTTCGCCCACGACGACGCGGTCCACCAATACGCCCTCTTCGACCCCGTCTCCAACACAGCCCATCAGGGGACCCCGTCTCCATCACCCGCCCCCGTCGGTAGCATCAACTCCTTCGGCTACAGCCCCCTCCCTCTCGACACATACCTCGCCGCCCTCCAACACCTGAGCGCTGCGCTGCCCAACGTCTGCAAACCCGCCATCATAAGCGTCGCCGGTCCGCCCCCCTCCGTCGCGGCGTGCTACGCCTCCATCATGGCCGCCTCCCCGCGAATCACCTTCCCGCTCGCCATGGAAATCAACCTCAGCTGCCCCAACATCCCCGGCCGTCCGCCGCCGGCCTACGACCCCGCCTCCCTCACAGCCTACCTGTCGGCACTGCCCCAGGAGCCACTCATACCAGTCGGCGTCAAGACGCCGCCGTATACGTACTCCGCCCAGTTCACCTCTCTGGCGGATGCGCTGGAGCCCTACGCATCCCGCATCAGCTTCGTCACCGCCACCAACACCCTCGGCTCGTGCGTGGTGTCCCACGCCGACGGCCAGGACGCCCTGCCAGGAGGCACGGGGGGCATGGCCGGCGTCGCGATACACCCCTTGTCCGTGGGCAACGTGAGGGCCTTGACGAGGTTACTGAGCGAGAGGGGCCTGGACGGCGTGGACGTCATTGGCGCGGGTGGTGTGCACGACGGCGCCAGCTACAGACGGATGAGGAGCGCGGGCGCCAAGGCCGTCGGTTTGGCCACGGCGCTGGCGTCGCGTGGCGTCGGTGTTTTCGAGGACATCGAGAGGCTGCTCGACTCCGAATGGTAGCCAGGCTTGCGACGTGATGCGGGAACACGTCTTCAGTCTTCAGCTGGGAGGGCTCGCTCCGCAGAGAGACGATGCATCTCGGACAAAGCCGTCGGACGGCCGGCATGTGCTGCGTGGATTTCTGGCCCTCTTCCCGCCTTCACTATCACGCCCCCCGCTTGAAGCACCCCTCGCGCCCTGGGCCACCGCATGGTCGTGACGAGGTGTCGTCCCTTGTCAGGGCCGGACACGCAGCTATCCCCCGAAGTTGCGTGTGCCTGGTGCCTCCCTTGCCCTGTCGTCATGCCGCGACTTGGTCGTCTCCGCCGTCGGGTCTTAACAAGGTGACTATTACACCCCTGACTCACTTGCTCGACCGCGTGCGACGTCTTCCAAGATGGCAATCAAGGGGTGACGGTTTATTACTCACACCGGTTCACAACGTCTCTGTCAGTCATATGATGTGCAATGCAACTCCTCGTCTGAGGTATATTCATCCATAATTCTCTTCAGAAATCTGCATCTCAAATACATGGATATCAAACGACAAGGCGATTAAATCGGGGTATATAACAAACGCGCCCTCCCAGAGCCACTGCCTTGGTCTACGCCGTCCATGCCAAATAAGCCAATGTGCTGGTGCCTACCGTGCGTAAGTAAACTTTTGAAGCCCTCGGGGGGAAGCTATATACATGAATCAAATATATACTTATTAAAGAGGAAAATGGGGTGAGGGGATTGAAGGAGAAGGAACAAGAAATCCCAGGATACAGAGCGTTTCACGATGCAACCGCTTCGTTATGTTGGACTTGTGGCAGAGACGATTTCCGCCTTTCACCACGCTTCAACTGCTGAGAGATCATTGCGAAGAAACTATTCGCTCCATAATTTTGTTGACTGTTCACCACTTCATCCGTTGACCTAGCTTCCCAGTGCTGCTCCAGGGCCGCTCGGACATCCGGGTTGGGGTCGACTAATTGCTTCGCATCACGGGAGAATTGCAGGAATATAGGATACGCTACCATAGCAACCTGCAGTGCGACAATGATAATGTATGCCGTTTTCACGCTGCCGCCGTTGTCAATGATGGCGTACATAATGAACGGGAAGAAAGCAGGCCCAGAACCACCCATGGTTATAAAAGCTGCCGCTCGCTTCGTTCGACGCCCTTGGCCGCGGAGGCCAATAGCAAAAAGGAGAGGCCAGATAGGCCCCTCGGCAAAATAAAATAGCAAGGCAGGAATGACGAGCAGTTCGGGTTGAGGCGGGCGCAACACGACCAGAAGCAAGGCCAAGAGAAAACATGACAGGATGCAGCTAGTGAGAACGGTACGTGGCTGCGGGAGCCGACGATTGGAGACCGAAAAGTACGCGAGGCATCCCGCGAGGAAGCGGGACGCGGCGAATATGCTATGTGCGACGAGCAGGTAGTCTGGGATCGAGAGAGCCATACCGGGTGCTTTATCGGGATCGCTCGTAGAGCCGGATGTGGTGGTACCGGATACCGCATCGGCGCCGTTGGGTGGATTCGGGAGGATCGAAAGAAGAAGGCTGCGAAAATATATGCTGTTGCTTTCCTGGCCGGCAACGTACATGTACTGCGCGAATACAGCCAGTACTAGGCTGACGGTTCGCAGTTGGAGGCCACCGATGCTTCGTTTCGTTGTGTCGATGGGAAGTTTATTAGCAGCAAACTCGAGCTCGCTATCGCTGACCTCTGGTAGCGGCATGTAAAAGAAAAATAAACCCAGCACAACGCATAGCAGGGTAATGCCCAGATATGTCCATTGCACGTTGATGAGCGTCATACTGTTCGAATCACTCAGGCTGTCCTGGCTGATTCCGGTGAAGAATACCTTTTGGGCGAGCAGACCACTAACGACACTGCCGACAGCCTGCACGGCCTGAGCTAGTAAAAGTCGAGTCTCGCCGTATTCAGGTGGTCCGCAGAGAATCATAAAAGAATTCGCAGCCACCTCTAGCACGGAGAGGCCGAAGCCAACAACAAAGTTACTCAGCATGAATCCACCAAAAGAGTTGGTCACGGCTGATGGCCAAAATATAATGGTGCCAATGCCGTAGATGCACAGCCCAACAATAAAAGTGACCTTGTAGCCGCCCACATTTTCGGCCTCGTTCCTTTCGTGGCGTTTGGACCGGTTATGCTCATCTCGCCGCAAGATCCATTCTCCGACGAGCAACGGCCCAAAGAAGTATCCAACGCCGAAATAGGCGCTAGTCAAGCCGAGGGTCTGAGCAGTTGACATTTGGTTGACCACTGCAATGGCGTTGTTAAGCGTATTAAGGAGACCGTAAGATAGACCCCATAGGAAAAACAGAATAGCCACAATGGTGCAGTATTTGAATGATTCTGATGCGTTGGCACGGAGCATGCTCTTCGGCTTTGTCATGTTGACGAATCCAAAATAGACGCCATTCACGACAGAGGAGGTAGACGCTGTAACATTTGTCTGAGCGCGTGTAGCTGTTAGATCTGGGTGCGTTCTTTCACTCAGGTTTCTCATATCGGGCGTTGTCAGGAATTCCATGGCGGTCATGGGGGCCTCGTTGCTCGAATCGGATTTTGTACCGCTCGGGTTGCTGCCGGTGCCTGACTCTGGCGTGGCCATGGACTCACGCGTGACACTCCCGAGACGTCTTGACGGCGGTATTTCGTGGTCGCTATTCGATTTCGTCGTGCGAGAAACTCTGGTTCCGTCTGGGTCATGCAACATAGCGGGTAGTAGCTTGAGGATGAGCGGCTTCAAAGTAGGGATGCAGGCACAAGCCATAGCAACATTAACCTCCACTGCACTCCACATGAAAGACAGAGATGCATTCCATGCGAAGTCTTGGTGGCCGCCGAACCGTGAGCCGGGGTCGCTTGTCAAACCAGTGGGTACGTCTGAAATGGCCTTTTGAAGGTAATAGATGCGAACAACGTCAACAATGGTGACGAAAATACCAAGAGTGAAGGTAATGACCAGAATTGTCTTTTGCCGTGAAGGCAGTCGCATGCCAGTCAGTACAGGGATCGGTAGAGCCAAGATGGCCAGGTCAGTGACGATGTTGACTGGTGCGGCGCAAATGAACTCGGTCAGGAGCGGGATGCATCGCGACGGACTGTCCGTCTCAATGGTCCAAGCCGCGGCGACTGGATTGCATTGAAATATGTTCATAAACGTCAGGACGATGCCGGCAATATTGACAACTGCCAAGGTTGCCCAGGAGGCGTATCGCAGGACTACTTGGGTATTTTTGGCTAGACGCAAGTAAAAGATTAAGATCGCAGTTTTGGTTGCCATGAGGGCGGGGTTGTATAGTATAGAAAAGACATATTCAAATCGTCGCAGTTTCGGTAAATCGGCGTCGCTGATATCATCATCGTGTTTTCCAAGCCCAACAGTGGCGCCATAGCAGATGGAGAAGGAGAGGAAAAATGCAATGAGCCAGGCCACCATCATGACCCTGTCATCCCAGCTGACCCTCCGAACGATGAAATACCGGCAAACCATGCGTGCGCCGACAAACACTGAAGCCAAAGCCAATGTTGCCGTCGTCACGGCGAGCACGGCCGGGCCTCGATTCCGTACCGGCGCATGGTCTTCCACCGCCGGAGAAGACATGGCGTGGGAAGTCGGCCCGTCATACAGAACGATTGCTGCCGTCTTCTCCGTCTTTTGGCCAAGGGAAAGCGTATGGTAGTATTATGATTGAGCGGTGTGGGCGGAGGATATCGGCACAAACATATCCCCCGACGCGCAAGGCCTGGTCTCCTTTGCAAAGCTGGGCGACTCTACTGCTTGAACGCAGTTGCTTGCACCATGGAATAGATCATGAGAAGATCGAAGGCGCTACAGCGATAGAGCCGGTTGCAATGTGGTTGCTTGTTCTAGGTCGGCGGCTTCTCAAACACCTGGAAGTGTTGTTGTCGGCCACCAAGGATTCCAATCCAAAGTGGGATGGTGAGGCTGCGCTGGTGACGTCGGGATGAGGATGTCAACTTGTCTTTAACAAGTGCCAGTAAGTTGGGACCAAGCCGAAACTACTCCGTAAAAAGTTAGCATCGGCGAAAGAATACAATGTCCGCCCACGCCACTTTTGAGCATTTGAGCCGCCACCCGAGTCTCGCGCGGCACAACGCCGGAGTGCCTGAATTTCAATTTACGTCAGACTAAAGACTGAAGGTCCACCCGGCCGCCACCGAGCGTTGATGCGCTTTGGGTTGTCTCGCGGGAATAGACAGAAGTAAGCAACTTAAGGAAAACGGAGAGATACGGCGTGCCCGCATGCAAAAATCGGGTGCGTACGGTTGGTTTGGGTGTGCCAATGCCGATATCGAAGAGCCAAGAGGTGCGTGAAGAGCCCTTGGACAGTATTATTAACCCTCGGCTTTTGTAATGCTATGCCGACGAAGGGGAACTCTGAAGTCGACGGCGGAGCTTGACTGTATAACTAATAAGTCAATGACACGCATCAAAGTTCAGACACGCCATCAGGAAAGATGGCGAGTGCGAGGGCAGACCACGAGCTTTTCTGCCGCTAGCTTCAGCAGCCGTAGCTATGTCTCTTTTCTCCCTGTTGTTGGTTGGGGAGGGTGCTCTTTTTTTTTTCCTTTTTTCTTGTTTTTTTTTATTTATTTTCTCATCCCTGTCACACCAACGTCTGTGACACACGATTGTAATTGACAGCAATGGTGACGATGGCCGTCGACATCCTCGCATGAGGCTGAATGACAGCATGGTTGGATGGTCAGAAAACAAAAGGTCCACCAAAGCGCGTCATATTCATATCCCCGTCCCGTCCATCACGTCCAAAGCGCGCGACGTTGGATTCAGCCGGCTCAAAGGCAACAAATGGCAACATGCAGCACAGACGGCGAGCGCAGCGCGCGCCGAGTAGCACTCTGAGTTGAGAAATGGAGGGTGGCAAGTCTCAAGTGCTGGTGGCAGCGGTCGAGGCGTGGCATTGTGTGGGGGGCCATTGGTCGCGGCGTCAGGCGACAGACGTGAGATGGCCCGGCGATTGAGCCAATTGAGAGACGCGTCATCGTGGTGATGCCCCGGCCAGCGCATCGGTCGGTCAATTTGGCAGCTGTTGATGTACGTGAGAACCACTTGCATGGAGCACGGAAGAGATGACGAAGTCTGGCTCCGGCATTCATGATTGCACCAGAAGTTGACGACCAGGTCGGGCCAAGTGGCAAGCTATCATCATGGTCGCTCCTGCACATGTCTGTCTGGTTCAATTAGGCAGGCACGATGGACAGGCTGTCAGGAGCCGACAAGGTGCAGTCAACTGCCAGCAGCCCTTGCCAACTGTCGGCCTTCAATTGTTCAGATGCGTCGAGTTGCCTGGCACCGCTTTGCTTGTCTTGGTTGCTTTTCTCGGAGTTGCAATCGTGTCATCCATCCATTCCCGTGAGCTTATTGCTTATTGCTTACGGCTTCTTGCACACTCATCAAAAACCAGCCATTACGTTATCAGACTGCCATAATCATTCTGATTCATCTTCCTCGTTACTCCTCGAGACCTGGCTGAGACTTTCTGCTCTCGAAAACTGCCAAGGAGGCAGCCGCAGATAATATTATTAGCCGCCAAACCACTCCTCCAGGCTTCAGGCGCATTTCGCCAATCGTCGATCATCTTAGCCCACGGAGTGTGTAGTGGGAGAAAAGACATCTTCAAAAAAATAAGTCCGCCATTCCGTCACTGTGCCAGGCGGCGCCCATGAAACTGATACAGGTTCCTGGGGAGAACAGAACCAGCCTCGTCCGTGCCGACCGCCCTTGGGCTCGCGTGACGAGAGATTCTTTGCTCCCAAGGTTGAACGACACTGCTCCTTACTCCGTGCGCCGTGTGGCAACATCCTCTGATGGCAGGGAACACAATGACAAAACACTTGCCCGTGCCATGCTACGGAGACATGGCCAGCGGCTCGCAGTATCGGGACCCAGCCAGCCCGTGATATACTGAACGAGTCCCTGAATCGGGTGCCGTTGGGTCAGCTGCTGAAATTTACGTAGGACCAGTCCTCCATATCCACAGCGGCCGATATGGGGGATAATGTCAGGTACTCGGTCCAAAATTCCCCTCTAAGCTTCGCTCTCGACGCGGCATCTGCATTATTACTCCGGACAGTCATGAGGATTTATTACCCCATTTCCACAGCACCATTTCTACAGCACCGTTGCATCGCTCCAGACTCGACTCCGTACTATTCAGGCAAATGCCGGCGAATTCGGTAGCGCTGCAGCAATAACATTGGGCTACAAGTCATAAAATTGTGACACCGCGCGCTTTTAGAGATAGCTCAGAAGCCCCCGAGCTACATGTGATGCCGGGAAATCACGGGAAATCACGGCTAGCACAGCACATCTCCTGTCGCTGTTTTGACATTTCGGACTCAGGACGCCCGGACAACGAGATGGTTAGACCGTGTGATTTGATTAGTCGTGCCGCCTGCCTTGCTGGTGAAGTACTCTGTTGAGACTTGATATTGACAGGACAGCCCAGGAACAGGGGGGGACTGCCGCTTGCGTTCGGCTCGAGTGTTCATTTGGTCCGCGTCAATACTTCGTCTGTGATGCGCTTACCCAACCAAGCAAGCAAGCAACAGTGGATTGTTGGATACTTGCCGTGTCGCCAGCCAATGCTGGCAATATTGTTCAGTGTCCCATGGCGCAAGTGTGATGCTGGCTGCCACGGCATCTATCCAACGATGGCTCACATCTGTGCTGCAAAAAATTATCACATCTCGCTTGGCAACAAAACGAAACCAACGAGCTGCCCAACTTCTGGAGAGGCGGCTGTACAAAGCCCAACACGTTCGGTGCTGCACGTTGCACAGTGCCCGTGGACAAACTCCACAGATGGCGTCAAGCCACACTCCTCTTCTTCTTCATGGTACGGAGTACAGACTACGGAGAACGGTCAACTACAGACCTGCAGTTTTCTATGCGCACGGCAATCGAGCCAGGCGGATATGCTTACGGTGACGCCAATTGATGACGGCAACCCACGGCACGGCAGGAGCTGCGCGAGCATGAAGACAACATCAACCACGAAGCTCGGGGGCCCATACTCCGTGCCAAACCAGATTGCAGCTTGCAGGTGCAAGCCAAGCAGCTCCTATAATTGCTTCGTTAGGAAGTTGGTGTTGGTCGAGGCTCGCAGTGGGGTCGCCGTCGCGGTCGTGGTCGTGGGGATCGAGCTAATCACAATGCTGGGTGTTCACTGTGGGTGTTGTTTGCTCCTGAAACGTTCCATTCTCAACCATGGCTCGTCTTGACTCTTGAGTGTTGGACCGCTTTGTCCTTGTTCTCGAGAGGCTGCCGACCGGGCAATATTCTGACCATCCGATCATGGCCGCCACGGGCAAGTATTGGCTGCGCTTCGCCTGCCGAAGTCATGTTCACCCCTTGTATACTTTTGTTAATGTACTTGGTAGATCGGTTCAGCTCGAGTAGTCGTGTCGTTCAGACAGGTTATACTTCCCGAGGCCAGATAGTTCCTCCATTACCACCATGATTCCGAACTGCAAGCAAACACCAAGTGCCACCCCGCGCAATCAAGCACGCGAATTTGTGCTGCATGCGTGGCAGCACAGCAACCCATGTGCCCTTTGAGACGCGCTACCCTAGATGCCAAAGGCTCCTTGGAAATCCTCTCCCGAGTTCTCGCGTAGTCGACAAACCGGCTGCGCTCCCGCACAAACGCGCCTATTTGTAATATTTGAGCACCGGGCTCGCACGTGCCCACTCCGTACGTCGACGGGAAATACTAGAGCAGGGACACGGCACCGAGCTCGTCCTCCAAGGAAACAGCACGGTAATACACGCCATGTGCAGCATAATAAAAATTCACACAGAAGGTACTGCAATTTCAGACGAGTAGATGTGGTGAAGACTCTCGGAGCCAAGGGTTTGAGTTTACGCCGTGCCCGACACGGTGTTCTCATCGGGAGTCCATGACGGGTAGACTATTGCGCGTACGGAGTAGACGTACGGAGTACGTGAGTAAAGCACTTGGGACGACGGCACAAGCGCACAATAATCCCACGCGTGACGTTTGCCCGACAGCGTTACATTTCGGCATCCTCGATACTGAGCACGGCCGCGTGGGGGATTCGCACCACCACACGTCTAGGATTCTAAAGCGGCGAGCATGGCCTCCTGGGTCTTGTTTGAAGAGTCAACCGCCATGGCCGGCTCCATGCCCTCCACCGCCTTGCCGTCGATCAAGCCCTGAACATCCAACTGCGGACCCCGATAGTGCTTGCGTCCATCGAGCACCCACGTTCCACCAGCAATGAGAAGCATGACGCCAAAGGCCACGATGCAATAGTTCATGTTGCTCGCCGTGACGGGGATCGCAGGCGGGAATACGAAAAGCACGGTAGTGAGGGCGGTCCATAGAATGCCAACCTAATCTTGTCAGTTGCCCTCCCGACACGTCCTTGGTTCTCTCCCTCTCTTTTTTTTTTCCTTCTTTTTGAAGGGGAGGGGTAGAGGGCGGAGATGATGGAACTGACGAGGTTGAGAACCCAGCCAAGTGCGCCGGGCAGCTTGAAGGGCCTGTTGTCCGGCAACATGTTCCGGCCGCGAGCGAGGTGGACGGCCGGAGGAATGGCATAAGTCAACCCAAGCGCAACCACGGACGCGGCCGCGATTGCGTTGAACGTGCTGCTCGATCCGAGGAAGATGCAGCCGAACACAATGACCCACGCGACCGTCCAAAACAGTGCATTCAGGGGAACTTCGAGAGTGGAATGGACGCGAGAAAAGAAGCGGCTAAAGGGCATGCCGCCATCTCGAGCAAACGCATAGCTCATTCGCGTGCTGGTGCACATCAACGTGGTGGTCGTGAAGACCATGCAGAGCAGCGGGAAGACGAGCAGGCACGTACTCCCGGCCTTGCTCTTGGTGGCCTGCATAAAGATTTCCAAGAGGGGTCCCCACGCGGCGCCTAGAACATTGTCAATGTTGTCAACGGAAAAGAGAAGGCCGCTGAGGAAGATGAAGCCCGTAACCATGCCGATGCCTATGCAGGAGAGCATAATCTTGGGACCCTGGTGCTGGGGGTCGGGAATCTCCTCGATCATGTGTGCGGTGGCGTCGAAGCCTACGGCTCAGTCAGCACACGCAAAAGCAAACGCCTTTCGACGGCATCAAGGCGCCTTACCCGTCAATGCAAAGGCTCCTTGGAGCAAGCCGAGGAGCCAGGCCAGGCCGTCGGGCCAGCCGACGTTGTTGATGAATTGGCCGTATACCACGTCGCCGGGTTGGAAGTGTGGCGACGCGCATGACAGAACGGTAATGACGACGACGACGAATCCAGTCATGGACCAGAAAAAGGCGGCTCTGGTGAAGTAGGGAAGCAGCCTGGTCAGGAGCGCGTTGATGACGAGAGCAACAAGCGCAAAGCCGACGTAGATCAGAAACTGGTGCCATGGCTTCGCATCATACGACGGGTTGAAGAGAGCAATCGTGTTGACAAGAAAGGTGCTGCCGAGCAGCGGGCCGGTGGCACTGAGGGCAACCCAGCCGCAGACATTGATCCAGCCCGTCACGTAGCTGATGGCGCGACTCGTCTGGTTCCAGGAGATGATGGCCGCCCAGTGATATTGCCCACCGGCCGTGGGATACGCGGAGAGGAACTCGGCGAGCGAGGCCGGCGACGACGAGACCCCAGATGACGGAACTCGACCCGCCCGACGGGAGCGCGAGCGTGATGGAAGCGGCGAGGGCGGTCCAAGTATTGAGAATAGCAAACGCCAGGCCGAGCATGGACAACATGGAGAAGTTGCGCTTGAGCTCCTGTCTGTGGCCCATTGCCTCGAGCCGTGCGGCGTCGTCGGCAGTGCCGCCTCGCCGCTTCTCACCATGGCGCGGAGTGCTGACGCTGCCATGAGGCCCATGACGGGCGTCGGGCTGTACGGAATCCATCATGTCAGCGTGGGCGTGCGCAAACTGCCAAGTTGTCGACAAGATGGCCGTCGGCCGTCCGCGCGAGTCGACAGAGGCAGTCCGCCATGTATGAGACACGACATGGACGCACAGCGAGCCTACCGCAGCCGGGGGCGACCATTCCGTATCGAGGCAAAAACAGCGTCAGCGCGCCGTTGGATCCGTCGCGGAGTACGGAGTACCAAAAGACGCTAGATGGACACACACTGAAGCCGGCTTCCCGTACCTTTGGAAGCCAGTACTAGACATGTATATACATGGCCCCGGGGCGGATTTCCGTCATCAACGGGCATGGCCCTTTAGCCTTGACAGCACGACTCGCGAGCAGATCTGGGCATGGCGGAATCGAGGACATGCGGCGGCTAGGATCCGCCCGCTCACGGTGGTTGCACCGTGACAACCTCTGAGGCCATGATCCCCAGATCTGACGGGCTGGACTCGCGTGATGCAGCCACCGATTCGCGATTGGAGTCTCAGACGGTCGGAAGGTCCGGCTCCAAGCCGCGAGACTGCACGTCGCGCGCGGGCGATTGGCCCTCAGCTCGGCGAAGGACGGGCATAACACGGAGTAGACGTCACAGTCCTCAACCCACACTTATTCCCGTTGCTTGTGGTGGACCGGGGCTTGAATGGCGGAGCATCGTCACGCCAGCATGGGTGGTTGCTCGCGTCATGTCTGTCTGGTAACGACGCACTTCAAATGAAATGTAGGCGAGGACTCGTCGGCTCCCATGCTCAGCTTCTTGTTCGAAAGCGCCGGCGCAGAAGCCGTCAATCTCCGGCCTCTGCCTGGCGCAATCAACAAAGGCGAGGCAGATAGATACTCTGTAGACACGGCTCTTCTCGCACGAGGGTTGAGACCTGACGGCGAACGCACATGCCGGCCGGCCATTCGTCGCCACGCCACGACACGACGCCCGGCTGTGGTGCGCTGCCATGCGTGCTCCAGTACATGATAAGTTATATCATCCCACGCAGACGTGCCGTACGCCTTGCGAGGCCGCGGCGTCGTCTGCATCCATCGTCCGTCACCCACCGCCGACACAGCAACTCTACAAAACAAACACAACCACCATACGTGCGTCATGGGCGTTCCGTGGCCAGCTCCCGCAGCCAACTCCGTCGCGTCCTGCATGCCGGCTCCCCCGCCAATGCCCATGCTCAACGCCCAGCACGAACGCCTCATCCTCGAGCTCCTCCCGTTCAAAGACGCCGCCAGGTTCAAGGAGTGGCTGAATAGCGCCTTGGTTCAGGGCTCGTGGGCCGAGTTCTGGCGGGACCTCGTCACACAACAAAAAACCCGCCACATGGGCCCGGAGCCCGACAAGACCAAGACGGCTGAAGCTGCCAAGAATGCCGTCAGTGGCCGCATCCTCAAGTTCCTCGCCTACCATCCCGACAAGACGAACTGGACCGCCGACGACCACCACGTGCGCTTCATTGTCACGGTGGTTCAGGACAACATGCTCAACGGCTTGTGGTCTGACGCGGACTGGAAGAAGAGGGCAACCGAGGTATGCAGGGCTGTTTACGAGGTCCTGTGCTACCTCAAGGCCAGCTACTATTCTGTAGAGATGGGCAGGCCTCCCAGTTACTCACAGTGACCACGTAAGATCTGCTCAGGGGGCGCGTACGGAGTAGGCCTTGCTGTGTATTCCACGCAGGCCTGGGGCGGGGGGATCATTTTACACCTGGTACGGGGTATCTGTCCATACATAAATCTAGTAGTTACTGGGAGCTCTGGTGATCCTCCTGCAAGATTTCGACTCGCAACGACGGTGCATACTCGCGACACCGTACCATCATAAGTACTCCGTATGTGGCGGGTATTTGCCTAGCGCACATTCATGCCCTTCCGAACCCGTCCCTGCCGCCAATAACTCTCCCTCTTCATTTCCCTCTTTTGCTTCCCATTTCGTAGTTATCATCGGCATGAAGACGGAGCAAATCGCAAGGGCTACAAATGTCACACTAATGAAACAATTCTGCTGACACAAAACAGCCATAGACGCTGCTCATTCCCAATATACCATGATTGCGACGAGCGAGCCTGTGAGAACACCCAGTCGGAGGCCCTGCCGCTGTATGCAGAACTACCCTACCATTCGCGTATCAGCACTGGCACGTCACAAGTCTCAACGGACTGCTATGTAGCTGAAGCCGACACTGCTCGGTTTGAAGTTGTACGGCGCCCCGCCAAGAATGATGGGAAGCCGTAGCATTAAGGATGTTGAACCAGATCAAGTAGAACCCGGGCGAGAAGCCGGCAAAGCATATATTCGGCCAGGTCATGAGCTTCAGCGACTGCCATGCTCGTCAGGGCACAGAAAATGGACGCGGTTTATCCCTCAGTGATAGCTTCCCAACAAACGTCTTGTCCGCGCCTGACACAGGAATATGACTTGAGGCGGCGGAGACGCTATCAACGTGAGGCGTATTTTGGCCCGGTGTGTCCTTGGTGGCAACGTACACGGCCCTGTCGTTGCTTGCAAGGGACGATCGTAGCTGATTTCCTCCATAAACAGAAAGAGGAATAGAAATGCGGCCGCAGCAAAGATGGCCATGAAGAAAAAGGACCACTTGTAGCCCATGTCGTCATCCCTGAAGCCACAGACGACGGGAGCAAAGTAGTTGGACAAAGCCAATACCCAGGCATACCGGCCCAAGTACGTGCCGCGTTCATGGGTGAAGTAAAGTGAAGCAAAAGTCCGTGATGGATGTCATTGGCAGGGTTTCAATCGGAGCAGCAATATATCCCACGACAAGATTGCGAGCAGTCCACTGCCCGTTGCCCCTGGCATAGGGACTTCATATCGAGACGACCTACTCCGTATTCGAAATTTGAGAAATTGGGCTGAATGATTGCGCGGGAAGTAATGCCACCGAGGAAGGCAGAGATGTCACGTACCACGACGCCAGGCATGGATAGGTCAGGCGCTTTCCGTATTGTAGGGCACGGCGTTGCCAGAAGAGGAGACCCCATCCAACAAGGAGGAACATGAGACCTGTGCCGGAATTCAGATTATTGACTGTATTGCGTCGGGGGGCGGGGGCTCAGTCATAGGCGAAGTCTGCACCTGCTGCATGTTGATTGTGATTTGGAGCGTCGCGAAGTCGTTTTTAACATGTCTGTAACCTGTAATGCAGGTGATAATGGAACTAGAACCGATAGACGACTGACAAGGCCATGCCGTTGAAGAAGACGAAGCTGTTTTGGCGGGGGTCAGCTGTATTCAGGGACGAATCGCATGTCTTTATTTTTATTTTTCTTCTTTTCTTCTTCCCCCGGGCAATGCAATATGATATCTGGGGACTCGGCGTCGATACAGCTGTTCCACTCACACAATCCAGCAAGCGAGATGCAGACGTTTTCGCGACGGCGACCAGTTGAGGGGATCATTTGGATCCGACGATGGTGTTGGGACGAGAATGATATCATTGTGACTGCCAGCACGGGGAGCGTGACCCAGTTCTGCAAGATGAACCGTGCTGGTCTGATGGTTCCAAGGTTCGAGAAATGAGGAGGCACAGTGCTCGGTGGAATGAATGATGCATTACAAAATAAGTCGACTGGTCAAAAGGAGCAGTCGAAGTTGCTTGAATTGAATCAATTGATGCTACCCACCCGCAGTCGAGGGTTCCGTCACAAATGTTTGTGGCGGATTCAGTGCACTGCAAAGGCGAACCTGGCAGATGCCCTGCGGGCCGCAATTGCGTCAAGGTTCAAACATCTGGGGCAGCAAGCGGCACCTAACAGCTGGTTCGCATGGTGAAAAGAAGGGACTGGGGACGAACTCGGGGTGGAGGTGAAGATTGGATATTTTGGGTGCGGGGACTCGGGCGACATGGATCATGTCTGGCAGGCAGTCTGGTTGGTGCGCAAGTTGTGTGCGGACCCGCAAGCCCCGTTGCAGACAGATGCAGGGATTGCACAAATCGGGGGGGGGGAGGGACGGGTACCGTGTGTGTTCGCCTAGCTGAGTGGCGGTTTTATGTTGCTTGGCCAAGTGCCAGACAGGATGTCCTGCTAAGTACCTAGACCTAAGTACCCTAGGTACTTAGGTACCTAAGTTCCGGCACCTACTTAGGCAGGTACTTTGGTAACCTACCCAATTAGATATAAGTACACAAGCACCCAGAAGTACGGTATACTCGCAGTGACTCCGAGATTTTGGCGAGGGGTTGCAGTGCAAAAGAGTTTAAGGATTCCAAGCACCCGCTGCGTAGAGTACATACGCGTACTTAACGTAGTTACTCCGTACAAGTACTTATGCAGCCCTAGGTGCTCAGTGCCCGTACTCGGACCCACATGTGCACCCTGTACAAGCACTCCGTACAGAGTACTCCGTAGGTCAACCGGTATCGAAGAGCGCTCCACCTGTGCACCAACCAGTAAACCCGGATGGCTGCGCGCTGGACGGGCAGCACAACGCACGAGCAACAACTCGGCGCAAAAGTCAAAATGCACAGACAAGACGTTGGACGTTTCCAAATCCCTACCCAGGCCATGCCGGTACTGCGACACAGCTGGGACCCGTCGATTGACCCTTTCTTTTAGCTTTCCCGCACGACTTCCACCGTCAGGCCACCTCGTGGGCTGGCTCGCGCCTTGGGACATTGGGCTGCCCGCTCGCTCCCTCTCGAGCCCATCATGTGTGCCAGCCAAGTTGGAACCTAGATGCGGAGAGGACGAGTATGGACAGAGGGATATAATGACGCCGTCGTACCACGCTGCTTTCTGCGCCGAGCCCCCTCTTCACCGTTCCGTTGCGCGCCCCGGACTCCCGCCGCGATGGAATCCATCACCTACACCGTCTACACGGGCATCTTTGCCACTCTGATCCCCTCGTCGCTGCTGCTCGGCCTGCGGTTCTACGCGAGGAGGTTGAAACGCGTGCCGCTCTGGTGGGATGATTATCTGGCCGTGCTGGCGCTGGTATGCCCAACTCGCCATGCCCCCATGACCACGCGCGTTGATTAACACGCTGCCTAGGTGTCTGCCATTGCCTATGACATAGCCGCATTCGTTTGTAAACTGCGAGCCCCTTCCCTGTTGCCGTCTTCTTTTTCTTTGTCTTTTTTCTTTCAGAGAGTGTGTGTCGTCTCCGCAAAGTTCCACGGCTAACCGAGCTGTATGTATCACCGTCGGCAGTAATGTCAAAGGGCCTTGGCCGGCATCTCAGCGACCTCCATATGTCCGTTGACGAAGCGCGCTACTACCAGGCCATGTTTCTTGAAATCCACGAGCACATGTATACAGTGGCCATTGCAGCTGCGCAGTTATCCCTGCTGGCGCTGTACTGGCGCATCTTCAGCTCCATCACCGGTCCAAGGATATGCATCTACATCTTTGTTGCGCTTGTGGGCGGTTGGTGTCTGGTGCGAGTATGTCGTCGACTCGCCCTCCCTCCCTCTCTTCGAGTTGCCTCAGTCTCGGCTCCAAGACGCGTTGACATAGGGCAAACATTGTAGTTGGTTGTCGCCGTATTTCAGTGCTTTCCGCCGCGCTACTTATGGGACAAGTCGGTTGCTGGCGGCGTGTGTACGGTGAACCCGGCCAAGTTCTTCCTCTGGTCCGTCTCGGCACATCTCGTTATTGATGTTGCCCTCATGGTGCTGCCAGCAAGTGAGTAGCATGTTCAGCTTTGGTCCACGGGTCTCCGGTCCGGTCGGCTGATGTTGTGGTTGCCGCGCAGCGCAAATCAGCAGGTTGCTTCTCCCCTGGCCGCAAAAGATGGCCATTGCCGTCATGTTCATGTTTGGCATTGTGTATGTCTCTCCAACACGTTCCCCGAAAATCGTGCTTGGAAACACGGAACCTGGTCGTCTCACCATTTGAGCAGTGTTGTCATTGCCTCCATCATGATGCTGGTCGCCTCGTCCAGATACGACTCGGACGACAGCGACGTCATGTGGAATTGCACGCCTGCCCTGATGTGGTCCGCGGTAGAGATCCACCTCAGCGTCATAGCATGTAAGTGAGACTTTGAGCGAGGCCCTCGACGAGCGCCAAGGCAAGGCAGAGAGATGATTGCCGTTGCCGCACGCACCAGGCTGACTTGCTTCCGCGTGGACAACGCGGCCAGGCTGCCTCCCCGTCATGAGACCAGTCATTCACGCCCTCGGAGGTTGGTGGGGGCACAACTTCTCGTCTCGCAAATGCGCCAGCGCGCCAACGTACAATCCGGTCAAACTGGGCCTCGTCCATCACACGGCGGGCGCCGTGGAAACTGGCGAATCCACGCACAACCTTACCAACTCGCCGGAGAGCAGTCTGACAGCCATGGCGGCCGACTCGGGACGAATATACGGACAGGGCGCGGGGTCGGATACCGTCATCAGCACGGGCAAAGCCGGGGAGAAGCTGAGACCCGTATTGCCGACGAGAAGCACGAATGGGGCCATACTGGTCCAGCACGAGATTGATATGAAGTTTTCCAGACGAGCTTCCCAAGGTCGATAGGGACGTGCACAATATGACGCTGCTAGAAATAATAATAGTTGAAAATAAAAAATTGAAACAAGATTAACAAGTAGTCTACGCATTGCGGCTCGTGTATCCTTGGCCGTTTTTCACTTTCTACTACCGACGACCGTTACGAGCAGGCCTGTAATGTCACTTACGCACTTGCAGCGACGAGTTGGAGGGCGACAAAAGGTGAGCACCATGGGGCTCGCCAGAGCCACAGGGAGTAGGCCGATTTGTAGAAACGCGGGACGTGGTACTAGACGGAGAGTTTGAAGCTGCTAATGCCCGAGCGCGGAAGCCCCGTGGGCCCGTCAGCATGGTGCCTGATTCGACGAGGAAGCGCCTTGGCTGTTTGTGCGGGCTGACGAGAGGCGAGGCGTTCGGTCCAAGGTTTCAGTGTATCTGTCCGGCACCGACCAGTAGCTCTTATTCTAGCCGAGAGGTTTGTTGCCGTTTGTGTAGGCGCCCGCCGGGAACTACCGACTACGAATCTGCCCCACGCTGGCCGGGGATGGGTATGCGCATTCTTCACGTTTAAAACACGGGGTATGGAGGAGGAAGGAGGATGGAAGTCTGGGAGAATGTGGAGTAAAGCGTTGAATAGATAAAGCATTGCTCTGCGAAAGCGTGCGTAAATCTGGCTGAGCGGACCATGTGAAGTGACATCACAGGAGGGGAAGTTTGAGGGCCAGCAAGCGGTGGGAATATATATACCATGCGGTTCCAAAACGGCACGAACACATGCGTGCAGTCGAGATTGGTAACGATAAGCCCCAATGATTTACTTGTACTGGCAGCTCTGCGGTTGAAGACTGTCTGGATAGTTACAGGCTCTTATCAGTTATAGGATACATGGCGTGTAGTTTTGCTTTGCTTTGGTTTTCCGGCATAGACGAGAGTGTTCGTTATTTGCGTCGTGTCGCGTCACGGAACCCCCAGTGGCGCAAACTCAGAAAGTCCCAGGGACAAAGTCGACAACCATGGCCTTGGAAACAATAGAATCCGGCGACTTGATCCATTTCCCGACGAAGCTGTGGTGCGCCTTATCCTCCTTGACATAATAGTCCCTGTCGGCCACGGAGTCGAACTCGACGACGAAGACGTGCGTGAAACCATTCTGCTCCGGCGTTAGCGGTTGGGCGGTTCCTATGAGCAGGCAGGATTCAGGAAACGGATGGCCGCGCACCTCGAAGCCCTCAATCGACATGTCCTTGCCGCCCTTGGAATTGGCAATATACGGCTTCCCGGTGGAAGCGAGAACACACATATTCTTCAGGCCGAGCATCTCGTCGCAGCACTGCGGACATGTTAATCAGTGACGGTGCCAAGAATGGCGTGGCCGGCAGAGGCGGTCAATGACTCAACGGTAGGTTTTACCTGCTTCACCAACTGCTCATCGGTGTCCGGCTTGAACTGAAACATGACGACGTGATTGACGACCATTGTGATGCCGCGTATCCCGGATGCTGCCGTATCGGTGCGAGGATGGATGAAAACTTGGGCTTCGAGGCTTGGATGACTTTGTTCCTGATGAAGAATGGTGATGAAGATTTGAAATCCCGCCGCACGTCGGCGCGGGGTAGCCGTCCCGAAGGAGAAAGTGCAAGCTGCGCCTCAGCGCGTGCCGACTGCATGCGGACATGTATCATATATTCCACCACAACTGCCTGCAGCTTGCGCCAGTACTTGACGTGCGTGCTCGGGGTCACCGTGGTCCCAGGCCAAGACTACTACGTCTTGGTTGTCATTGTCCTCTTCTGTCGCGGGCGCCGGCCGGGAAGATGGCTGGGGCGGATTCGGATCTGTATAGCCCAGCTCTGGCAAAGGGTCGCGGTACAGCACGCCGAGGTCTTTGAGAACAGTGCTCACGTCGCTAGATTGGCCTTGGGGACGTTCCACTTGGGTGTAGAGGGCGGCGGCGATGTTGCAAGGGGTGGGAAGGGGTTGGCTACTGGAGGAGGAGTGAACTCGGGCGTGGGAATGTACGTTGGACCATGCGGTGTCTCTCCTTTTGATGACTCCTTTCCCAGATCGAGATGACGAGACCCCTTTTGGAAGTGCCCCTCCTTGTCCATCGTTCCCAGGCCAGCAGAAACTGCAGCTTCAGCAACCTGGTACTCGGGGGACCCAGGTGGATGGGAACAAGGAAAGATGCCAAACACATGTGTGCGAGACACAGGGTCGCCCTGCAGGCCCGCATCTGGGATTTGAGCGTGAGAGCGGAAGGGCGGTCGGAGCATGGTCAAGGAACTCGAAACTCTAATGACATCTGACCAGGTCCGCAAGCATAACTGTGGTTCAACAGAACAATCAGCTAGCAGTAAGCACGACACACGATAATACATGTCCTAAAGGCCACGTTGCATGCCGTTCTTTGTCGTCTCAAGTATCATGCGCCCCCAAGTCGGACAAGCAACCAGTCATCTATCAAAATTGAAATCAAACGTTGGCCTGTGGCACACATGACGGCAGCTAGGCAACTATGTGGTCTTCAAGAGCAGGCCTTACCTACTTGGGACACAATCTAGATACTGGTTCCGCTCTGAAGATCTATAAAGTCCGCGAACTGGCCTTTGATCGTAAAATTCAGACCTGGGAGTGACACAGCAAGGCGGGTTAAAGCCAAGCAAGGCGGGTTAAAGCCAATCAGGGATGATTCCACAGAGAACAAAGAACCTAACTTTCTGACAAGGGCTACTTTCCCGTGGCTTGACCCTGATTATAAGTTAGTTGACAATTGCTCTACAAATAAAGAGCCTTGCTGTTGACATCGAGCAAAACGCCCGTCCGGATCAAACTTCCTCCTCAGCTGCTCTGATTTCCTCCAAGTGTAGCGCCACGTCACGGGTCTCAAATGAACACCATTCCCGTCTCCTAGATTGGAGATGGTCCATTTTCCATTTTGATGGGCAACATTGCATTGGAAACAAAGCCGGCTGGCTTCTCGCGCACCGAACTCGGGATGACTACAACCTTGTCCATGTCGAGAATACTATGCAGATCATCGCAACGACTTGGACTTTGAGATGGATGGCCAGGCTGAGTGTAATGGGTCACTTGCTTATTTTGTCGCTACAAAGATATCTGGTCAGACTTTCCAGTCGACGGACTACGCAGTTAGTTAGTTGTGCTACGTTCAGGGCCGCCAGATGAGCCGCCCTAATCACAAATAGAACCGCAGCCCTGGGTTCACAGCCCTACTGCTTCAGCTCATTCATCAAGGACTGCATCAACAGCTTCGTAACCTGGTCTCGCATGTAGCCCATACTCATACTCGGCGGCGCATCCGCGCATCGTGCCCATCACCCGCCCACCGTGTCGCACGGTAAAAGACATTCACGGCAGAATCGTAATCGATATGTGACAATTTTTGCCTGGGGCGGCGCTTGGGGAATGCCGACGACCCGCGGCAGAGCGGCCGTGGCGTCGGTCTGGCTTAGTATCTACTTCGGATTGCCTGGAAACCGAGCCAAACATGCCTCGGTCGCCTCGACTCCTAACATACAGCAAGTCTTCTGTCCAAGATGTCAAAGAAAAGAGCCATTACATCCGAGGGGGCCCAGTTTTTACATGTCCTTAACGTGGAAGCAAAGCAACATGTTTGAGAAGGCTGACTGCGTCGACGTCACGTATACACGTACATCTTGCTCGTCACGTGCCTTGCTGGCAGAGAAGCTACGTGACTATACGAAAGGCATCTCGTCCCTCCTTTTCATCAGCAGCGGGGTGTTGATGTTGAGGAACGGGAACTCGTGAATGTATCCGTTTGTTGGCCGTCCCGTCCCCTCGGGATACTTGATATCGTAGCGCAGTAACAGCGTGGCCAGAATCATCTTGAGCATGTCGGATGCCATGAAACGCCCTGGACAAGCCCACTTGCCGTAGCCGAAATGCAGGTGAACTTTGTCCGCAGTCGCGTACTGGTGTTTTTTGTCCTGGCTCGGGTCCTGGCGGCGCTGCTCGTAGTAACGGAGACCGTCAAACGATTCGGCGTCGTCTAGGATCTCTGGGTCCCGGGAGATGGAGGCTGGCGGAATGCAGAGCTGCGCGCCGTATGGGACGTGCGTGCCGTCCTGGAGCGTGATGCCGGCTGGTGCCTTGACAACGCGAAGAAATCCCACTAGCAAAGGGTGGTTTAGTGCGCTTTTTCTGAGGGAGATGAGCAGAGATGTGAGTAAACTGGGCAACATACACAGAGAAAGGGGATTATGGCGCTGGGATCTGGCATCTGTTAGTACGTGGCGTGGCTTGAGGTTTCCGAGGGAAGAAAGTGCACATGGCAAGGTGGGAGGGGACTGCTCACTCTCTCAGAAAACTATCCATTTTGCGCAAATCGGCCAAGGTTTGCTTTGTGAAGCGCATTTCACATGCTGTCAGCGTGGTTTCCGCCTCTTGACGTAGCAAGTCTATATACTCGGGGCGAGAGACAAGGTCGAAAAGCGCGTGGGATCCCGATGCGGCGGTGCTGTGGCCAGCAATGGCCGTCATGGTCATCATCAAGTTGGCAAGGGTGTCGGGTTGACCGTCCTCGTCTTCGGGACTTGTCATCTCCAGCATGGCTTGCAGCAAGTCGTTGGATTTCAAATAATCGACGCCGCTTCTCTCGAGCTCTCGACGACGTTCCACTTCGGGTATGAGTATCTTCTTGCCTGCGCGAATACAGGCTTTGTATTTCCAGGAAAATGGGAGACAAAGATTCAACAGTGGCCGCAAGACCGTTGGAACAGATCTCATGGCGATTTGGGTAATCGTTACTACAAAGGAGGTCAGCATGCTTGTACCCTTTCACATGCAGCAGCCTTACCATTGTCCGCATGTCCGAACGCCGCTTTCAGCCACTCGGGGTCTCGACATAGAGTCGATCCTACAAATATTCGGTGGACTATCCGTTCGACTGCCCTCAGAAAGAATGGTTGAATCGGCACTGACGTCCATTCTAAGCCCAATATTATCAGCGTGTCGGCGTATTCATCAGAGAGATTGGACGAGGGGGACGCCTACCGTGACAGGGCGGTAGATCGGTGCGCAGAGAGTACTCGAGCTCGTCTGTCATGTCATCGCACAGCTTAGCAAGGTTGGGTGTGATTTTTGCCTGTCACAAGCTTAGCCCAGGTTCCGCCACAACTTGTCCGGGCAGGCATGTAACTACCTGAAGCGCGCGGATGCCGACGTCGTGTTTTGCTAGCAACGTGATGCCACTATAACGGCCACCAAAATTCTAACGTCGCAGGTCGTAAGAGGGCGTTCTTGCGCGTTGTGGGTGAGTATTTCATGTGGCTACTTCTTCCGCACCTCTATTAAGCCGTGAATTGCACTGAGCTCCGCGGGGGGTCTGTTGTGAAGGTCCTCTAGATAATTCCGAGACAAGACGAGCACGTCGCCGTCGTGCCGTGAAATCTGGAACATGGAGTCTTTACACTGTCCACAGTTGTTAGGAACGTGGTCTTTGTGGGAAGAAGAACTGCTTGACTGTCCAACATACTTCTGCGTAGCCTTGATCGATCATTGATGCGGCGGAGAACATGTAACGAAACTGAGAGAAGAAGCGTGGCTCCCATGACGAGCGAAATCCTGCAAAAGGCACCTCAAGGCCAGTAGACGGTTTCCGGTACCACGAAGCACACAGGACCAGAACAAGGATAGCAGCTACCACTTGCCTCAAGGGAACATTATACACCGCAGAGTGATAAATCTCCAAGAGGGCATTTCCCAAAAGAAATTCGGTCGAATTGTTATATTCCATGCTGGAGCTAGGGAACAGGTCGAGGCGTGTGAGCGACTGTAGTGCGCATTCCACAAAGACGACGGGACGCGGGAGACTTTTGACGGACTCAAGTAGTCAAGAAGCGTGCGGATTCTGGGAGAAACTGGCAAGGACGGTAATTTCCAATGTGCCGTCAGCCTCAATATGCGGTTTATAAGTGGATGTTGATACGGCCAAATGGCGCGTGACACTATCAATTGCTAGCACTTTCGGGAAAGAATACATCTATACATGTAAATGCCCGGCGGGAATATGGCAGAGAATACACGACGGACGGATTCGCAGAAGTACTGTACTTCGGACCCAAGTTGCGTTCAACATGCAAAGGTACGAATGCGACCACGCAATCACACATCACATCGCACAATCATCTGACAAAAAAGCAATGAGCCGAAAGTACTTCTGCGGTAGAGTGATGGCGTCTGCTGAGAATGTACTGTCAAACCTTTGGAGCAGCAATGTCTAGAGCACAAACTGCATCGCGGGCCAGTCAGAGGGTAAACTGCCATTTGAAAGCTCACGAATGTTATATTTTGATAATTGCAAGTGATTTCAATGGAAGACACATGGAGTTCAAGAAACAATAGTCCCCAAAATTGTTTCAAATCTCAGTCTATGTTCTATCTGCCCTGACGATGATATATGATAATTACTAGACTCTCACGAGCAGGCATACTCTGCTGCTCTACACAAGTAATACGTTGCGATTGCGAATGCAAGAAGATATACGGAATGATGGACTCCTAATTTAGGTCGCAAGCAACTGAGGATCCGTAGAATAGATCCCCAGGACGCATCCCATGCGCCTCCCAGAGACCTGGTTGGCGTATCGATGAAGTCAATCTTCGCGGCGTTGCTTATGGACAGACCAGACAGACCAGCCGGTGCATCATTCAAAAAAGGGATGATGTATCGGCCGAGGAGCCTTCTCCCAATCCCTTGGTTGGCATGCATGCGGACTAGGAACTCGGACTGCGCGCAGATGCTATTTGTACGAGGCTTCTGCGTCGCGGTGAACTCCTGGAGCATCATATTTACTTCTCCAGCGGAAAGCTTGCCCAACGGCAGTCTTTTGTACATGAGATTGGCGAGCCTAGCGGCGTCCTCGATGGCCAAGTTGGCACCCTGTCCTATGTTAGGGCACATCTGTGGCTTGTTAGTCTTTGACCTTCGGGGCTCATCACCGCCCTAGGCGACGTGGTTTCGGAACTGGAGAGCGTAGACGTGTGATCTTGTGCATACCTTGCGGACGGCATCGCCAATACACAGCAGGCGGCCGTAGTGCCACTGCTTGAAAACCCCTTCTTCCAACGGCGTCATCTTGAATATTGTACATCTAGACCATATATCGTCAAAAGTCAGGGCGTCAGATACGCGTTTCGGTCGCATGCTGTCGCAGATCTTTCTCGCCGCACAGTCTGAGGACGATGCGTTGTCGACGGAAATATCCTGCGGCGTCTTGACGATGGCAAACCAGAAGGCCTTGGATTTCTTCCCGCTGAAGACGTGTATTGAGACCCCGTCATCTAAGCGGCTGAGCTGCGATCCAAGTTCCATGTGAGGAACATCGCGCGAGATTCCATAAATGCAGGAATACTCGTACTTGATGCCTGTGCTTCCCGGATTAGCAGAAGTCAATATGCCAAGTCCCGTGAATAGATGTACCTGAGTTTTCTTGCTCAGTTGCGTGCGGCTGCGAAACTTTCGTGACATGTCTCCAAATCTCAGACCGAACTACGCTATGGACACCGTCGGCACCGACGACAATATCTGCTTTATAGGTGCTGCCGTCCGAGGTCTTGACTACGGCGCTATCGTCGCCGCTTTCCACAGCCAGGACTCTTTTCCCCGTGTAAACGTGATTCTTGGACTCGAGCGTGTCATATAATATCTGAAGAAATCTCTGCCTCTCCAGGAAGGACACAGGGTAGTGGTAGCTGCCGACCGGGTGAGTTAGCAATTCCTGACATCCAAGTACGTCGGCCAAGGTTCGTGTTCCCTACTTGGAGTGCAATGCCTTGGGGTATCGGCTTTCAAACCAGAAGTCATCGGGGTAACGGATTCTGGAGTACTCCAAGGGCTCAATCTCCCTCTCGACGCTCTCAAAAATACCAAGCTGGTCGAGAATGCGACCACCGTTTGGCAGAATACCAATCGAGGCCCCAAGTTGGGGGGCAATTTCACCCTGTTCGAGAATGATAAACGAGACACCAAGCCGTTGCAGGCAGTGCGCGAGGGACAAGCCGGCCACCGATCCTCCCACTATTATGACGCTGAAGTCGTTTGGCATCGTGGAAATTGCTCGCCGTGAGGTGTCACTGCCGCTGTCGAGAAAGTTGATTGAAGGTGACTGCTCTTCGAGTGCGGATTCAGGAGTCTTCTCTGACATGGCCGACTAGCCCGCCAGTTGTCGAGAACAGCGAGACGTGCTAGCCGGCGTTATCTCTAGAATGATGCAACGTTGATTTGACCATGAGAGATGCCTTTGTTCCGGCCCATCCTTTAACAAAATTGACTGCAGGGAACTACAACGGGGTGTTCGAGGGGTGCATCTATCGACGAGGCCCGGGACAGCCTCTGGAACAAGAATACTCCATGCAGCGTGGGACAGTTGAAAACTACGATCTGGCATCATGGTTGCGTTGAGTGTTACAGCACGCTGATGCAGTCCGTAGACAATATCATGGCTATTCGCATGACGGCGGACAGTGTCAGCGCTCCAGCCCTTAGCTGGACGCCGTAAATGTCCGAGTTGATTGCCCGAGTTTCGGGCAAGTTTGCAATGGAAATTCGGGTATCCCATCAAAACAGACAGCGGCAAATGATACGTCGCTAAGCTATCCTACCGGCACAAGAGGCGAGCTGCAGGCTGCGCTTACTATTGAAGAAGTCTGCATATCTTGGATACTACACTGATCAACATATTACCCAATTGGACGATGCATTTGCCTGTACATGCCAGGTACGCATGCTGTCAAAGACGCGCCGTCGAACCACGCATCATCTTTCCGCAAGGAGATGCATTGCCAACATCAACGCGGGACACTCCGCAGAACGAACGGCATCTCCTATCGCCCCCCCTGCTCAGGTGTGGTCTTCATGTCCCTTACACAAACTACCCAACCAGGTACAAAAAAAAACAGCAAGAGCTTCTTAAAAGCTGGCGATGACCCATGACGACAATGCGGCCTCAGCTCACCCCTGACTACCTGCATTAATACCGATTCAAAAGCAGACACGGCATCTCCCTCTCGCCTGCACCATGGGGTCTCACGGCCGGCGCTTCATCATACTCCAAGTATGTTTGGGTCTGATTGGAACGACATGGAAGGCAAGGGAAGGATATCCGATGGTTGATGCAGTCGGCTTGCTGTGGCCCTCGGACGCCGCTGGCCGCGCAACAAGTCGCTCAGACGCGCCTTCATGGCTCGAGATTTGCACGGGCACGTCGGCACAGTCCCTGCAGTCCAACTGGCCATGGTTTTTCCTCCATCTGGTCCTGTACATCGGCCAGCTGGTGGGGTTCGTCTTGATAGTCCTGCATGAGACGTTGCCGAGGGGAGGGTTGCTTCGCGGCCTTGGGTATGTAAAGACGGTTCCAAGGCCCACGTGTCATCGGCATGCTAACCAAGATCCGCGTCCCAGGGTTCTTGCCGCGATGGGCTGCATCTCGTCCTGCTTTGGCTTTTCCATAGCGATGCCCGTCGTATCGCTGGGGCTCTTGCATCACCGCCGTCCCCTGACCCTCCCAAGAGCGCGGCCAAAACAAGAGCACAAATTCGTCTTGAACCTAGTCTTCTGGCTGACCGGCATAACACATGTTGGTGCTTTTCTGGTGGCGTTTATAGCAACTGTGCTGTCTGAGCCCCCTTCCCCTCTCCACGTCATGAATAGCCTGCTGGGCGTACCCGATTGCTCCCAGCTCCCATGTGCCGAGGAGGCCCAGAGACAGGCTAGGCTACGCCAGATCAATGAGATGACCGGCACGTCGAGTGGGTTTTTCCTGGCCATGGGGCTCTTTTGCCAAGCGCTCGAGGCCACGCGGAAGCACATGAGCCGGAAACTGCTGGCCCGGATGTTTCTTGTCAGTCTGGTCCTCGGGCCGGCCGCGGGCGGTGCCGATGCGCTGCTGCTGCAAAGTTCGTTGATCGGACATGGAGACGGCTCAGAGAACCAAAAGAGGACCAAGTCCGAGTAATTGGCTCAATAGTTGAACGCGACTCCACGGCAGACAGCGAATCCTTCGCAGTCCGGCCCGCTACAGTATGCTCGATTTAGCTCTTTACCTCGGCATATGCGGGTATCGGTCGAAGGGAGGCCAGATAGTACGCAACGTGACGAATATATTATTTTCTTTTCGAAGTGGTTTCATTGGCTACATGAGACTATCCCTCGGCGCTCAAACCGGCTTGTTGTCTATACCTCGTACGCTTTTGATGTAACCTTTTTGGGATTCAAGCATGAACAAGCAGAGTGGAAAAATAAGAGACGTTAGAGTCTAGACAAGCTGGAAACTTTGCAAACTCCCTCGGGAGATTGCTCTGATGGCTATACAGGAGTGTCTCGTCGTGTCTACTCGCGGTCGTTGCCACGGACAGATGTTTACTTCTCCCCAGTCTGCACGCATTGTTGGGCCCCAAGTTCATGTGTACCGTGTAAATGAGCAAAAACTGTCCAACGAAATGAATGTCTACTGCCTTGCTCCGAATTCAAGCCGCTTTGCTCATGTGCTCCTGACGTCCCCAGACCGCCACCAGCTTGTCCAAGCCCTGGCCTGCATCCTGAAGCGCCTCCAGGCACTTCTTCTTGACGCTCGGAGCCTGCAGCCCCGCGAGCGCTTTCTCAATATCGCCCTCGTTGTGGCTCCGGAATGCCTCTTGCACTCGTGACTGCGTTTGTTTGTCGTTGAGAGCAATGACAATGGGAAACGACAATTCGCCGTTGCGAAGGTCCTCTGCCACGCCTCCTTTGTTGACTGCGTACTCGTCGGAATATATGTTCTTGCAATCATTTTGCAGCTGCGCATACCAACTACCCCCACGTGATCCATTAGCTTGGTGAGCAACAAGTGAGACGGGGAGCATCTGTCCATACCCGAACCGAACGAAAAGATCGTCCAGTTGATCGCCGCCATCGTTCAGCAGCCTTCCAAGGAGGACGAAGAGCGTTCCTGTCTTGAGCTGAGCCATGTGTTTGTACATGGGGACCCTCTCCTCCTCCGAGTAGCCAAACGACTCCAGCCCATCCCGGCGCCAGACCAAGGACAGGTCCTGGCCCTCGAGCATCTGCTCCAGGGCCTTGAGCAGCTCCACACCGAGAACAGGTCGTTCCCGCATGGCCCTGTTGATCATTTTTGTGAGCACAAAGTATGCTCTGTTGGCCGTTTCGCACGACCCATAGATCAAGTGAGCCGTTGTTTGGTTCTTGCGCTTGGAGCTGTCGTCGCATATGTCATCCACCAGGATGAGGCAGAAGTGAACAGCATCCATAATGTCGAGGATCAAGGCGTACTTTTCGGGGTCTTCCTCCTTCAAAGCGGGACGGAATGCCTTGATAAAGGGGGCGAAGTGATGACGCCCGTATATGCCAAGGAGATACTCATAAGGACAGCTCGGAAGCTTGTCCCTGTCCTCCTTGTTGCCTTGAACGGAGCGTGACTTGTCATATCCATAGTGCTGGACCGGTTGAGATGCAACAGTCTCATGGTGGGATCTATTCTGGAGAAGATAGCCAAGCGCGAATGCAGACAAGACGGCCGCCACTTCTCCGGCCATGAAACGACCCGTGAACCAAGCCATTGTGGCGGGCTGCCAGTGGTACGCGTCAGGACGGCGAGGGAGTGGTTTGAACAGAGACCGAGGGGAGGGCTATGACTGCGGTCAGTCCTGGGCCTTGTCAACAATATACCCAGCAGCAACAGTGTACACAACCTCGAGGGCAATGGACGAGGCGAAGTGGGTACTCACGACTGTTTCTTGCGACTGGCAGAGTAGTAATATAGCGCACAGGCTTTAAAGGAGGAAAGCTGTCGATCTTGGTGACTGAAGATATGATGTCGAGTGTGCGGCTGCAGTGGCCTGGGGCTTCGGCTGCACGCACGGGGTATAAAAAGATTGCTCGCGTCCGTCGTTGGTCCTGGTGAAGCAAGCTTTCCTTCATATCTTGTCTCGTGCCCCCCTTGGACACTGCAGCTCTTATCGACATGGACGGATTCAACAAGATGCAGGCCCCGTCTGGCTATCAGGAAATTCAATGGCTAGCCGACACGTTCGTTGCATTCATGGGGCTCGGCTGGATCGTCAACTACGCCTTGATGATCTGGCACTCCAAAAAGGGCGAAACATACAGCATGGCTCTTGTTCCGCTCTGCAACAACATCGGCTGGGAGCTCGTATACACGATGGTATATCCATCCTCGAACAAGGTTGAGCTAGCCGTCTTTGCGGCCGGTGTCACCCTCAACGTCTTCATCATGATAGCTGCAGCCCGTTCAGCAAGGATGGAGTGGAGTCACTCTCCCTTGGTTGCGGACCATGCAGCCTTGCTTCTCCTTGTGGGAACCTCGATATGCTTTGCCGGTCATGTTGCGTTGGCGCTGGAAATAGGGCCTGCGCTGGCCTACTCCTGGGGAGCCGTCATATGCCAGCTGGCCTTGAGTATCGGCGGCCTTTGCCAGTTGCTGCAGAGAAACAGCACCAGAGGAACATCCTGGGCATTGTGGTGAGCCGAGAGCCCGAGCAAGTCCTCGCCCATCTCATGGCATGGGACCGACTGACATGTTTTCAGGTCTAGTAGGTTTCTTGGGTCGTGTTGCACCGTTGGCTTTGCCTTTCTTCGGTGGAAGTATTGGTCGGAGGTGTATGGCTGGCTGAGCAGCCCGCTCATTCTCTGGAGTCTTGCCACTTTCCTGCTCGCCGACTCCATGTACGGAGTCTGCCTGTACTTGGTGTCACGAGCGGAGAAGAGCTCCGAGAAGCTTGATTGATCTCCGGGTCGTACGGCACGTCGGGGGAGTTGACGGCGGGATGTGCTTGCTGCGCTGCGGCAGAGCCCGACGCATGTCGCAATCGCAAATGCGCCGTCATCTTGATTGACATGATGCGTCTCGGATCATGTGAAAGTTTTGTTCAAAGATGGGAAAACACGTTTCTTGGCACATCGGGTCTCCCCGGTTGCGTTGCATGGATACGGATGTACGCAGCAAGACGAGAAGCCATGCTCTCCTACACGCCTTGGGAAACGGCAACACGGGTGCAGTCACTGCATATCCGATATCAGTTGCTTCACATGTTCGCATGCGTCATATATGCTTGTACTTTTCAAATAATTCCAAGGCAACATACATCACACTGATAAGACCGGCTTGCCTGGTCGATGAAGTTTGTGCTGATTTTATCGCTTCTCATCAAAGTAGACTTGCATTTTTGCTGCCCAAGACGAAACATGTTCTGCGCGCCTGTCACCACTGGATACGTCTCCCTCGACACGATTGACTGCATGTGCTCAAACCCCATCATGGGAAGCACAGTAGATACCATCCATCAATCTCGAGGCGGGCCGTGTCGGCCTCAGCCGAACTATACACTTTCTAACGGCAACACCACATACCTGGAAGACAAAGTTGGTATGCAACGACAAGTTGGAGCCTTAAACATGCTCACCGAAAACTAGGTTCTTACGGCCCCGTTGGACTATTTGCGAGAGTCACCCGGCAAAGACGTACGTGGCGGCTTGACGAATGCCTTCAACCAATTCCTCTGTGTTCCCGAGGACAAGGTCACCGTGATCAAGCGCATCATCGATCTACTCCACAACGCCTCTCTGCTGTAGGTTGAAGGAAAGTCACTTGAGCGTTGCAGCAAGATTCTCTGACAAGCCTCAGCATCGACGATATCCAGGACTCGTCCAAACTGCGACGGGGTGTCCCCGTTGCCCACAGCATCTTTGGCATCGCACAGACAATCAACTCTGCCAACCTGGCTTACTTCATGGCCCAGAAAGAGCTGGATCACCTGACAAACCCTCGAGCGTACGCCATCTTCACCGAGGAGCTCATCAACCTCCACCGAGGCCAGGGCATGGAGCTTCATTGGAGAGACTCCCTCCACTGCCCAACCGAGGACGAATACATGCGGATGGTTCGGAACAAGACGGGGGGCCTGTTCCGGCTCGCCATCCGGTTGATGCAAGGCGAAAGCGCCAGCAGCCGTGACTACGTCCCGCTGGTTGAAACCCTTGGCGTCTTGTTTCAAATCCGGGACGACTACCAGAACTTGCAAAGTGACCTTTACTCCAAGAACAAGGGCTTCTGCGAGGACATATCCGAGGGCAAGTTCTCGTATCCCATCATTCACAGTATTCGGTCGCGCACCGGGGACCTTCGATTGCTCAACATTTTAAAACAGCGCAGTGAGGACCCCATGGTGAAGCAGTACGCCGTTGAGTACATCAAATCGACGGGAAGCTTTGCTTATTGCCAGCAAAAGATTGAGTCTTTGATCCGGCAGGCAAAGGCTCAATTGGCATCCCTTGAAGACGGAACCGGCCGGGGAGAGCAAATGCGAGCAATTCTCAAGTTGTTGGAAATCTAATCATCTACAGCATTAGTGCAGTTCTGTAGAAGACTGTTTTCCTTGCGTACAATCCAAAGAGAGGACACATAGTCGTCGCAATCTAAAACCGAATCAAAATCGTAACCAACGCTCTTCTCCCCGTTGAAATTAGGACCGCCGGCCCCGACAGCACGGTCGAGATCCTCATTGTTCTTCCACCTGCGGTGAAACCCGACCAAAGACCAGAAGAGATGATTTTGATTTCCCTTCATCTCCGTCATGCGTTCGCGGAAGGCCGTGCGGCACGTCCCTGGCAACGTTTCATTCGTCGCTTGACCGGCCGCCTGCGTCAAAACCCTTTCCCGCCGAGGAACATAGCAGTCCTTCGCAACGCTTGTACAGGATGCAGAATTTGTGATGCGTCACTTTACCCTTCTCAAAGTGACACTGTGCGCATGGAGTCGGCAACTGCGAGATAAACGATGCCAGATTTGCCGCATACGTTGCCGAATAGTCTCGGCCTGTCTGGGAACTCACTTCTGCTTCAAAACTTCCGGGCAGCCAGTTTTCCGAGAACACTATGTGAAGGCTTGTCTTGGGAATCCAGTTGCAACTTCTCGCTTGAGAGAAGACTCCCTGGGGCGTAGGTTATGTCCGCGCATCGAGCCATCTTGTTTTGTTGCTAGGACGAGCATGAACAGGCATCCTAAAATTCCGCACTAGGGTTACAAATAAGTTCCATTGTGTGCCAGGGAAACATTGGAATCACATTTTCAAATTTCTTCCTCGTATAGGAAGTACATGGTGCTCAGATATTTACTTGTAACCAGCCACCTGGCCACAGAATATCTATCACTCTTCGGATTGCGGGCTGTTACACGTCCATCGTGAAAACATGTCTTGTTGCTCAAAAAAGGTTGTTATCAAGAAGATCGTAGCAATGGTCTGTAATTCTTCTAAGCCGTGAAATGTGTGATATCGACAGATGCGTGCGATCTTCGCCACAGCTCGCACAAGCCTCGCAAGTCAAATAATACCGCGGCATCCTTCCATCACAACTACAATTCTTGCGGTACCCCGAAATACACCGTCTGGTATGCCCCCGACTCGTTGTACGCGAACGCCGTATAGCCGTGGACTGGAACGTCGCGAACCGTGTTGGGATCGCCACTGGAGCGTGCCGAATTAGCTTTGGTTCATTGGAACTCGCCGGAGTCGGGCTCGGCGGGCTGAGACACTCACAAGGCACTTTCAAAGGTCTCCCTATATTTTCCATTGGCTGCCCATTCCTGGTTGCACTTTCGAAAGATGTCCTCGATGTTGCAAAGGGCCTCCCTGTCGCTCTTCAGGTAATTGAATATAGGAACGTGCAACTTGACGTCTGGCAGGTCTTTGCCTGGAGTAATCTCGAGACAAAAGAAGAGCTTCATGACTAGCTTCGAGGCGTCGTTTACCGGCTTCTCGTAATCATCTGCAACCTCTTGCTCCTCCTGGAGCAGCAGGTGCCAAATGGACCGTAAGACCTCCAAGCCCTTGAGCGTCATCTCATCCTGCCGCCGGCCGCTTAGGGTCATGCATTGCCTGACAGTGTTGAATGAATTGCTGGTTGTGTTGACGTAGAGCTTGACTCTGGCGTCGTGTGAATCCTGGTCGCTGGCGAGATCTATGCACAGCATGTCCACGCAGGGCGGACCCGGACGCTCGAGAAGGAATCTACTCAAAGTTAAATACTTGCTGGCAGCAGTGCGTGCTTGGGCAGTGGAGCAAAGTTCAAACAAGCCAGGGCGTGCTAATAAAACGCGGCCTTACTCAGAAATGGCGGTGATGGCTTTGTCGCTCATCGGAGGCTCCAAACGACGCAGAACACCCCAAAGCGTCTCAGTCATGGACTTGGCGGATCCGAGCCCCTTGACCTGCGGGCTAAGATAAAGCTTTCCGCGGGCTTGCGAGCCCACTAGATCAAAAGCCAACCCAGAAAAGGGCAACCTGGATGCAGGCTTTGGTACTGCTCCAGGCGGCAGGAGACTCGTCTGCCATTGCTGAAGCTTTTCCTGGGCCACTGTTGCTTCTTCAGGCGTCGGAGCCAGTACATCCAGAAAAGCTTCGGCCCATTTTGTACTGAATCCCAATTCCTCGGAAAGTGATGTGAGACATTGCCGAAGCGCGCCTACGGCATACGTATCGTCGTCGTCTCGGGGGAACTTGGGGCCCAAGAATTCGCAGCTGAATCTTACCTTCGGCTTCCCGGCGTTGAGGTTGAGACTGAGCTCCACGGGGAAGCCGCTGTGAGTCAAACTGGAGTTATTTGGGCGCGACTCGGTCGGGCGACGTCCAAGATTAGGGACGACGTGGTCGCATAGAAGTCGAACGTGTTCGCCTTGGTCAGCGGCCGTGTATGTCCCTGCTGCTCGTAGCAGAGCGAGCAGAGGCGGCACGGTGTGACGCAGCCAATACCTCTGGTCCAAGCTGTTGGTTGTGGAAGCTTGCTCGGCCATTGCGAGTATTCCCGTGGTCAAAGAATCTATCAGTGAGAAGTGAAGTGCTTTCCAAATCCCAAGACGATTGACCCTGCAGTATCAAATCGCGACTATTATACAATCGAGGTGCCAAAGTCATCGGGCTTCTTCCGGGCCTCATTCTGAATTGATGGTTCCGCCGTTCTGTTCGGAGCTATTGGGTTGTGACTTGTATGCGGCAAGGTCACTTGCATCTGCATGTGATTTCAAATGTGGATTTTCCTCCCCGAAGGAGGATCAATATGCCTGGAGAATCCACACGTTGTGCAACTCTTGATGCTGCAGAGACGTTCGGAGGGAGCGGAGGTCGGTGGTTGATGATAATGCCAAGTAATAAAAGTTGAGATATGCCCGAAGTGGACATAATCTGGGGCTCCCTCGAAATCCTCCATGGATATCAATCGAAATTGTACTCCGGCTCTGGTAGCTGCTGCTTCAGTCGGCCGTTTGTTCTACAAGCTCCCATCGATGTGACCGGCAGCCGCAACGTTGCTGCGCTGCTTGAACGTGTAACCTTTGGTCTACTCAAGAGTGAAGATCCTCCGTACTGTGCTGCACTTACTAGGGCACCCGTCTTTCCTACCCAGCTGTTGTTGCCTCGTATACTTCCGACATTGGCCGCCAGGAGACTTGTGTCGTCTGGCTCGATGCCAATCTCGTAGTGACAGGTGGCTCGACTTATCGTCTGTCTAAATCTTGCGTGGCGGGCCAAGGAAGATACCGAACTGCGTGATTATTTGACGACTCGGATCCAACTGCTGTTTTCGAGGCCGAGACGGAATCCCCAAGGGACACCAGCTACTGTCTTTCAAAAAGGAAGTTGTGTGAGCTAGCTCGCGAAGCGTCAAACGGGGATTCTTTTGTATTCTCTGCATCACTCGCGATAACATTCAGCTACATCTTCTATTATCATGTATACTTTTTATAAACATTGGACTCTGTGTCAACAAATAACCCACCCCGCATCACAACTCGAGCAACGTGGAAAAATGTCACTATAAACGAACAGCGAGGTCGTTTTGCCACAATGTCATTTCTCTTCCCCAAGAGGCGGGCTGAAGTACAAAGTTTGATAGACACCCTTCTCATTGGTGAAGATGTAGGATGCGTCGCAGTGAACTGGCTTTTTGCGATTGTGTGTTGCCGAGCCACTGCACAAAATTCCGTTAGTGACTTTTGATCAATCCTAGCCTAGAGTGGCATTTCTTGTATCGAAAATGCCTACTCCGCGAAGCATCGAGGATGGCTTACAATGCATCCGTGAAAATCTTGTGGTACTTCCCGTCTTCACCCCACGGGTGGCCGCAGATTCGGAATATTTCCTGATAATTTCGAATGGTCTCTTCGTCGCTTCGAACGTAGTTCCATGTCGGCAGATAGGTCTTCACGTTGGGGAAATCCTTGCCGGGCTGGAGCTCAAAGCTGAAGTACAATTTTTGGCAAAGCATGGAAGATTCGTTTATCGGCTTTTCGAAGTCATCTTCCACGGGGCCCTCTGGCTGTTGGAGCAAAAGGTGCCAGATGGGCCGAAGTTTTTCCAAATATGTGTTGGTTTCGGCATCGTTGATTTTGCCTCCCAGGGTCACGTATTTGCGCACCGTGTTGAACGAATTGGTTCTGGTATGAATGTAGAGCTTGACTCTAGCGTCAGACAGATGCGCCTCGTCGACACAGTCGATTCCTATCAGCTCAATCGGGGACGGCTCGGGAATGTCCTCGAAGAATCTCATAGCAAAGGTCAGCATGCATAGACGCAGAAGCGGGCACGTGTAGCGTTGCAGGTTCTCACTTTTCAAGCATGTCAATTGCTTCCGGTTTGAACGCTGGCGTGAGACCTCGAAGAATGTTCCAAACTGTTCCTGCTGCTGGAGTACCAGTAACAATTTCTTTAGCCTTTGGATTGACGTAGAGTTTCATCGACATGTTGGGACCCTTGAGGTCAAACGCAGCCAAAGCGAAGGGGATTCTTTTCAGGGGAGCAGCTTCAACCCCTTCAGGGACAAAGCTTTGCAGCCACTGCGGCAGCATATCGACGATGCCTTGAGCTTCCTCCGGCCCTACGGCAAAAGTAGACAACAGGACGCTGCTCCATTTGGTTGAGAAGCCAAAGTTGGTCGAAAGAGAAGCCATGATTCGTTGAGCAGCCTGTATCGCCAAGGGATCCCGGCCATGTCCTCCGTCGGCACCCAGCATCTCCCAGCAGTATCTTACGCAATTTTTGGACGACGCATTGAGGCTCAGCTGCAATGGGGAGCCACTCTGCGTCAGGTGTGAAGGACCAACAGCCTTGGACGGCCGTGGACCAAGGTTGGGCAGGACATGTTCTTCCAGGATGCGCAGCTGAGCTTCTTCGTCCGATGCGGAATACGACTCAGTAGCCTTCATCAGGGACTTCAGAGCGGGGATGAAGCTGTCCGCCCAGTACTTCGTGTCCGAGGGATCTGCTGTCACATCCTGAGCAGGAGCTGTAATCGTTTGGGTGGCCATTTTGTGCTATGCCGGTGATTACACAGCAAAATAATGAGGAAAGTAATACACAGAGAGCCCGGGAACGGAATGTCAGAGTACCGTCGACACAAGATTATGGGACCAAGAAGAACGCGAAGACTTGGAGGAAGCACAGCAGGTCACATTAAAATACTCCCGGAACACGCTGGTACGTCTATGTAATTCAAACGTCCATCCAGTCGGATCTTTGGGGCAGACTTTTCCTTCCGCAAGGTCCAAAGCAGCCATAATCTCGGAGAAGTGATTACATTCAGATATGGACTTGCATACTCCCCTGCAAAATGGCAACGTAGCGGACAGAACCGACAACACCCCTCGTAACTGCACATGCATCTTCTAGGGCTGCTATATATAGATACAACGTATCTTGTCCGATAATGTGGTACGAGGAAAACGGTCTAGGACTTCGCCTGGTTCCGAGAATCTAGCGTTGTCCTGTGTTATGTCCGCGTATGTCGTCATCGACGGGCTTTTGTAACTTGTCTGGCACGAGGCAGATGATCTTTCACGATGCGTAGGTTTCCAAATGGTAACCACTGGCCAACGACCGTGACATGTTGCAAAAATTCTGGTTTCACCATGACACGAGCGTTGTTCACGAAAATTTAGAAAGTTCGACTTGGAGTAAATAAGAAATCATCCTAATTCTAACGTTTATCCTTGAGATCCAATGAAGCACCAATTCTTTCGACAGCATCTACTTCCATGACTACGGCTTCTACCACGGAAAAATACTTCCGTCACTCTTCTTAGTTCAAGCTTTAGATGCGACAGTGTTGCGGCGACGTAGGAGGACAACCGCCGTGCGATTCGGAAAGATTCTATCTCCGTGAAGCATATTGGGGGGACGCCCCATGGGAAACTCCCCCTGCAATTTAAAGTCATAATCGAGTAGAAGTCGGCTCATTATGGCCTTGATCGTGTACTGAGAGTCAAAACTCTGGTATTAGCAAGAATTTTCACAAGGGAAAACTTGGAGTCACGTACAGCCGCGAGAAATCGTCCCGGACAGGCATATCGGCCGAGGCCGAAATTGAGATTGGAAGTGCTGCTGTTGGAAAATGCCGTCGGTGCGGAATTCTCTTGTTTAAGCCACCTTTGTGGGTTGAACGAAGCTGCATCAGGCAAGATCTCCTCGTCCATATGAATAGACCTCGCCAGAAGCGCGATCTGTTGACCGGGCTCCAATTGGTAACCGTCAGATAGCGTTACGGGTTTCCGGACAAGACGCCTGAAAGTAACTAATGTCATAGTTAGCGACGCGCAGGAGCCATGAGAGCGTTGAGCTGGCCTACACTCTCCGACTGGATTGAGCCGCTGCGATTCTCTCATCAAGCTATCCAGCAGCTTCATGTCGAGCATCGACTCCTGCGAGATGCCCATCCAGCCATCTTTCAGCAGAGACTGTTGTTCTTCCCGAAGACTGCTCGTTAGATCCGGGCTCGAAATCATGTCGAAGAGTAAATGCGTGCTCGCCATGGCAGTTGTGTGGACGACGGCCATGCTCAAAATCCCGAGGGTGCGATGGGCGAGGGCCTCTGGTTGCGCTTCTTCTTCAGTTCTTGCCAGGTCCATGCACCACTGAAGGAAATCGTCGTGCTGCTCTTCAGGGCAACTCTTGCGTCTGTTTACTTCTGCACCGAGGAGTTGCTGGATGTATTGTAGTTGGTCGCGAGCCTCCTTCACCGCCGGAACCCAAGTCCCAAAGCAAGACGTCAGCAAGCTTCCGAACTGACGGGAGGTGGAGATACTATCAAAGACGTTGCGGCTGTAGGAAGCGGTTGTTTTGAGGAAAATCTCGTCCCTGCAAGTTGGTTCTCCCACAAACACCCGTGCCGCAGCACGAGTAGCCAGATGAAGAACCATTTCGTATGGATTTACAGCAATCCAAGCATCTATGAATCCATGACTGTCAGAATTTTCCGTGTGCTTCAATATCATGGTCAAATTGCACAAACCATTTTGCGTAGGCAAGACTTGCGTAAATGCCAGCCTAAGTTCGTCCATCATCATTGGGATGATTTTCGCTACGTTGCATTAGCACTGCTTCGTTCAAGGCCACTTTCTATAACGCTTACGAAGCCTGGGAGTCAAGCGCCGTTGTATGGCATGGGTGTGCAGTTCGCTCCCGAGAAGAATGCTCGTGACGGCGCCAGCATTGTCATCAAAGCTCGCTGTCAAAGGGTCCAACTTGTCATTTGTGACTGCTCGTAGCTCGGAAGCATATTTGAGCGGAATGATGACCAGGTCCATGTCCATTTTAAGCAGTCTAAAAGGCTGACCTCTGTACTGTAGCGCCGTGAGATTCGGCCCGTGAACATGTCTTTGAACATTGCAGCAAATACCTTTTGATACCCATCTTTGATAAGTTGGGGTGCCTGGCTGTTGTAACTCAACCGGTCAAAGACTTTGGGGAGGAATGACGGCCAGCATCTCACAACTGGTATTTTCTCCTTCCTGCTGCTGCGATGAACAACATAACAGAGAAAAAGACCGACAATAGTTGCAATGAGTGGCAGCGTCGACTTGTTGAAGAAAGGACTTGGCGAGCTCGAGGGAGCCATGAAAGATTTCGACAGGAAGTCCATGTTTGCGAGATGTAAAGACATTGTACTACGGCGGCAGATTTGGCTCAAGTTCAAGTCAAGTCTCTTTGAATGTTCCTGCTCAACCGATACAAGTTGAAGAATACTCACGGGTTTTCTGATCTTGAAATGATGACGTCTACGGCGAAGGGAACCTTATCAAGATGACAGAAGCGTCGTCTCTGCAACATGCGACGGAGGTGCCCGTAGAGCAGAGCACAAAGAGTAGATTGGTCAAACAGAGCCATGCCATTGGTTACTGCTCGCTTTTCGAATGCAACATGACGCGGTGGTCCCGGCATCTCCCAGACCCCGTGGTTCAGCTGTGTTGCAACGTTTGATTGCGACGAACAATCCGACATGCCACATCCAGTCTCCGCTGCAGGATTGCGTGAGCGCGTCGAAGTTAGTTCCCATGATTCTCAACACGAAACGTTAGACCGTGACAGTATGCAGGTTTGCACTCCGGTCTTCGCACATCGCCGCCGTCCTGGACCTGCATGACATGCTATCACGAACGATCCACCATTACGGATCATTTTGGCTGAACATAATTTCTCCTGGGCCGTAGCGGCCCACGGATCATGACATATCCACGGTGCGCGGCTAGGCATCGCAGTGGCCACGCCATGGCCGGAGTTCCTGCAGGACTTGCATATGCAGATCATGTCCGAAGTCGAAACATCAATCTACGAAACCCCGGTCATTTCTTTTTTTGGTATGAACGGTGCCGCAGCTCGTCAGGGATCGGTAAGATCGGCAACGAGCTCGGACTGAGTCGTCACTCGCAAGATATCGCGGACGCAACTATATGCGCGCACCACCATGTCTGGATTGTTTACTGAAGAGAAACAAAGAGGAACGACGCCGCTTGTAAATTGAAGCTCGCACTTTTCCTTTCCGACTAGCCATCTATAGCTCTTTACACGAGCAGCGGACCTTGAGCCAAACTTACAATGTTAACAGCACGACTTGATGTCACAGGCGACTACTCGGTGGTGGTATATGCCATCGTTGGCGTTTTAATAGGTGGTGCCATATTCTTTCTCTATCTGGACTACCCAGTAAATGTTTGAGCGAACACGCCCTTCAGCACAATACCCGTTTAACGAGCTGACTTGCATGGCCGCAGGTCGATGTGCCGACTGTCGGGATTGGAGTGCGATACACGAAATGGCTGGCCGCTTTGCGAAACGTTTGGTATGCCCGGGAGTCGATCCGCGAAGGATATGCCAAGGAAAGTTGCTCCTGGCTCGTATGGCAACGCAGCTACGCACTAACAGTCGACATGTATGTAGTACGGTGATTTTGCCTTTCAAATACCGACCATGACGCGAATGGACGTCTTTATATGCGATCGACAGATGACAAGGGAGTACTATACTGTGGATGACGATCATTTGTCCTTCCGCGCCGTAATGTCCGAAGTACGAGACTGAGCCATGACGCAGACATTGTATGACAGCACTTCTGACAGTGAAAAAAGGAATTTCAATTCGAGTGGCTTCTCCCAGGACAGCTACAAGATGTTCGCCGGATACCAAACTCCGTCATTGCAAAGGCCTTGAGCTGGCAGAGGACCAGGGCAAGCAAAGCTGAAGACCCGTTTTTCAAGTCCTTCTCCGCAGAATTCGTCCATGGGTTTCAGGAAGAGGTCCAACGTTTAGTGCTGAGCCAGAGCTCAGGCTTCTTCTCCTTTTTTCGAGGTGGTTCCGTGGACAAAGACTCGGGATGGACTGCTGTGCCTTGTTTCCCCCTTGCGCTCAAGGTCATCGCACGGCTGACCACGTATTCTTTGTTCGGCGAGCCGTTATGCCGGGACGCAGAGTTTCTGGACATGTGCTGCCGCTTTGGTGATGCCATCCCTCGAGACGCGCTCATCTTGCGTTCCTGGCCAGGCTGGGCAAGGCCGTAAGCAGCCTCTCTTGCGTTCTTCCTCTCTCCCGTGGTCCGGCTGACACTGTTTAGTTCTGTTGCAAAAGTCTTGGCTGCCCCGCGACTTGTAAGGAAATTGCAGGGCATTTTACAGGCCGAGATACAACACAGGAGGGATACCCGTGAAAAGAACGCCATGAAGGTTTGTTTTCGGTATTTGCCATGGCTCGATCGAGCCTGCTAACGCACGGCTGTAGGACATCCTGGACTTCGCAATGAACTGGGTTGACCAACGACGTGAGGCGGAATTCGAAGATTGGCACATCACTGACATGATGACCAACACCATCTTTGCCGCCCTGCACACTTCCAGTCAAGTACGGCTCCCGGCATCACCTGCTTGGTACTGCAGCTAACCGTGTCTACAGCTGGTAGTTCATACAATATTCGAGCTCGCTTCGCGCCCTGAATACGCCGATCCGCTCCGCGAAGAAATAAAGCAATGTTTCGAGCTACACGGCGAGGGCACCAAGCAGGCTTTGGACTCAATGTACAAAGTGGACAGCTTCATCAAGGAAACACAAAGAATGAACCCACTCGACGCATGTATGGGAGACCCCTCGCCCGTCAATGAATGCAAGGTACAATTCCTAACCCGGTGACTAGCTGCACTCGCAAGACTGGCTCTCAAAGATTACACATTCTCCAATGGTTTGCACATCCCCAAGGGGAGCGCAATCTTTACACCAAACGCCCCCCTGTTCCAGGACGAGAGATTTTACCCGGATCCCACTCGTTTCGACGGGTTCCGATTTTCCAAAATGCGGCACGACCCAAAACTTGCCTCCTCCTGTGACCTGACGTCAACCAATGAACGAAGCATGCATTTCGGGATCGGGCGCCACGCATGCCCTGGCAGATTCATGGTTTCCGACGAGGTTAAGCTCGCCGTGGTGCATCTCTTGCAGAACTTCGACTTTTGCATCGAGAACCATGGCCCAAGGCCGAAGAATATGCCGTTCGGCAAGTTTATTCTGCCGGACATGGGTGCAAAGGTGTGGCTGAGACCGTCTGCTCGCGGGAATGAGTGACGTTGGGATGTAATTCTATTACAGCACATATGCAGCTGTGTGTACTCGGAAAATACTGGGTTAGCTATTCCCTCCGTATCGGCTATAATACCACATGAAACAGAAAGATGTTTCCGGCGTCTCTCGATGGCGTTGATATGCGTGTCTGTCGGAGTTTGACCACTTGGCCATGAAGTAAAGGATACGGCAATAGCGGCTCTCTGCCGGATTTCCCGATATTAGACCCATGTGTTTGTCCAGTGGGCTCCTATGCTCGCTCCCGAGGTGACTTTCGTTGAACAACCTGGAGACAGTCTTGTCGTAGTAGATCCTTTCATAAAGTCCTTTGATACCAATGCCATGGCCATGGAGGACGATGAAAATCACGTTACTGTATGCGAACAACGCTCTCGCCTTTGTCTCATTTATTAACTGACATTATTTCTGCCAGGCACACAATGTTGGGCATTGTACCCTCGACGAGGTTGCCAATAAGCTGCATTAGGTCCTTCAGGATCAGGACTCCCCGGACTTTGGCAGACGACGGAGCCATTGGAGTATTGATTGGTACTGTGTCATCAGCATCGGCTCGCTGGGGCTAGTATTCCACTTTCAATGACATCACCAGCCGCATCTCGTTCATTGAGAAGATAACTCCGGGTACATGAACAATGTGCGGTTGAGCAGAGGTTCGTCAAGGACCCGGGGGGGGAAAGCATCTCACGCGACGACAAGTATTGTGACCATTTCCAGAAGCGAAGTCAGCGTCAGGTGCATCTCGTATCTCAGCCATCCCTCACGAATAGTTGACTTCCGGGACCTAGACTTTAGTCAAGACCCGATTACTCCCATAGAGAAGTGAGCAACGACGAGAAAGCATGAGAAGCGAGTTCTGTGCAACGGGATATCGGCATGCCCAATGCACGGTTAGATGCCACACGACTTACCGAGGCGCAGTCGCCTGTTGTACAAGTACTGCACGACCTCGATGGGAATACTTGAATTAATAATCTCATACTCCCCGCCAGCACAGACTCCTCACTACCCGTTCCTTCAATCCCGGTGATTATGTCGCGCACACGAACGGGGGAAGCCGTGACTCCGAAAAAGTCCAAACTTCATCACGTCAATCCGTGTGGTATGCAGCATCCGCACCTTGACCACATCTCTCCAGCCATACTCATCATCAACTCGCTATTTTGTGCCAGGCGCCAGCCTCTGTTCCCCTCGCGTTCAACGGCTTCGTCGCGATACATGCAGCATGGCAGACTCGCCATCACAAATGGCTGCCCGAGGAACTATTGTTTTGACAGGGGCCAACGGCGGCCTCGGGAGTGCCATTGTCAGGCAGATCTCATCCAAGCCCGAGCTGCTGGGCCATCATGGGCTTTACATTGTCCGGGACGCGTCAGCAGCGCCGGCGCTCGCCTCGGCCCTTGAGAGAGGGTCATCGTCGCACACGCACGAGGCTGTTTCCCTCGACTTGAACGACCTCGACCGCGTACGACGAGTTGCACAAGACATCAATGTGAGTCCTTCCGAGTCGTGTGTGTTTGCAACTTACGTCCTGGTGCCCCTTAACAGTGTGGCTGTCTATAGAGCCGTGTATCTTCTGGCCAAATCCCGCCTATCCTTGTCCTCGTCCTGAACGCGGGCTTTTTAGACTTTTGCAACCAGGCCTGGACGGGCGACGGCTACGACGTTACCTTTGCGTCAAACTACCTGGGTCACTGGCTGCTCACACTCCTCCTGCTCCAGAGCATGGACAAGGAGACTGGCAGCATTGTCGTTGTTAGCAGCCAGTCGCACGAGTAAGCGTCCACCCGGCACAGGAGAGGCCATCGAGACCATCCCCCACCATACGAGTGCGTATGAAGACTGACATGGTCGGGTGCAGCCCTAGTGATCCCCGCAATGCCCGCGGCAAGGCGTTCAAGGAAGCAAGGTACAAGCAGATCATCGGCAGTGGCGAAAGCAGCGTCGACGCCATCGCGAAGGGCACATGGAGCTCGGCCAAGGAAGACCCCTCCTTTCGCAGCGGGTTCCGGCGTTACGGCGCGTCAAAGCTGTGCCTCGTCATGATGCTGTACGAGCTTCGACGGCGTTCGGACAAGGACTCCAGCCTCAACAAGCTGAGATTTGTCGGGGTTGACCCGGGCAGCATGGTCACCAGCATACAGCGCCACGCGCCATGGGTCATCCGCGTGGCAATCTTTGGCATCTTGTATCCCGTCATTGCGTGTCTTTTCCCAAACGGTCCCGTGCGGACTCCAGAGCGCTCGGCGTCGGATGTTCTCGATGCGGCTTTGGCGCCGAACCGAGCCGGAGGGGAGGGCTCATCGGAGGCTCTATACTTGAACGGCAGAGATGCCGCCGAGGCGAACTCGGAGGTGAAGGACCCACGGAAACGGGAGTTGCTCTGGAAGCAGACGGTAAAGTATACCCGGTTGGTGGCGGGCGAGACGATACTTTGCCATTGGCAGTAGGGTGGAAAGCAAAGTTGCTCAGGAGTCAGCATGATATTCGTTGTCGGCGCAAAGCCCTGGGAAGGGTGCTTTAGCAAAATCCCCAAACGCATTTGCGCACTGAGTGTCTTCATGGGAGCAGCGCAGTCGATGCGCACGGGGATTCCCTCTATCGAGATTGACACACAGACAGCCATTGAATGAAATAATTCCTGCATCCTTGTTATACACATTTGCCGCGAGTCTCTGACTGGTTGCCGCGGCACGTGACCAATCATGGATGCTCATGGGCTTGCGTCGCATGCCGCCCAGGCGTGAGGATGCTCGTGCAGCGCCCATGTCGAGGGGACAACGGTCCTTTTCTGTCCAACATGTAATATTCTCATCTCGGCATGGGCACGGCTTCTTCGGTCGTCAATCCCGGCTGGGGCACGACGGGCCTCCATCCGGAGCGGAGCCTCGACGGAACGCCACGTCGATTCCCCGCACGACTCGGCCTCAATTCTCGCTGAGACTCTCGGGCCCAAGGGCGCCATTTGCAAGCACACCGTTGCAGGTTCAACCTGACCGCGTGTCAACATGGGAAGCACGCTGTCCTACAATGTACAAGAACATACCGTTGATCTCGGGCCCCGCGGCAAGATCAAGGGCCTCCAGTACGACGACAAAGCTCGTCGGTACAGCGGCGTGCCTTACGCCCTGCCTCCAACTGGCGAGCATCGATGGCGCAGACCGCGGCCTCTCCCTCCGTCGTTTACGTATTCCTCGGCCTCCCAGCCGTTCGACGCCACCTGGTTGCGTCCACCCGCTGCCCAGGAGGACCGTGAGCTGCGCACCGGCCTCGTCGCGCCTGAAAACGACGGCATAAAGGGCACGGAGGACTGCCTGTACGTCAACGTATGGACCCCCGTCTCCGCGGATGCCGCCCGGCCGGCCAGGCGATGGCCCATCATGGTCTGGCTGCACGGCGGGTGGTTCCAGGTCGGCGATGCTTGCCACGAGCCGTGGAGCGATCCGACGGAGCTGATTTCCACGGGAGGCCTGGACGCCATCGTCGTGGCGGTGAGCTACCGCCTCAACGTCTTCGGCTTCCTGTCGTCGGCGGCCTTGCTGGATGACGGCGAGGCCGCCGGCAACTTTGGCCTGTGGGACCAGCGGCTCGCGCTGGAATGGGTGCACGACACCATGGGCGCCTTCGGCGGCGACGTCGCCAACGTGACGATTGCGGGCAGGAGCGCGGGCGCGTACAGCGTCGAGGCGCAGATTCTGCACGACTTCCGGCGAGACCAGAGCCCGCGCGCGGCCAGCTTGTTCCGGCGCGCGTGGATGTCGTCCAACGCGATTCCCGCGCAGCCGAGAAGCGTCGCCGACGCCGAGGCGCAGTTCGACGAGGTCTGCCGGCACTTTGGCATCCCGCCTTCGTCCTCGCCGGCCCAGAAGCTCGCGCGGCTCCGGGACAGGAGCACGGCCGACGTGCTCAAGTGCATCCGCTGTTTGGAGAGGCACACCTTTCGCCCCGTGACGGACGGGCTGTTCTTCCACGCCAACATGGCCGAGTACCTACGGTCAGGGGCGTTGGCGAGAGACTTTGCGTCGCGAGGAATGAAGCTTCTCATAGGGGAAGTCGCCAACGAGGAGAGCCTATACGCGCAATTCAACGGCCCGGCGGAACCTACCCCGGAAGCTTTACGTCTCCAAGTGGCAAACTATTACTCCCCTGCCATGACGGCCAAGCTGCTGGGCCAGTATTCCCTTCCAGAGTCCAATGATCTCGGGGACTGGAAGAGGGCATTTGGAATCATGGTTGCGGATGGTCAAGTCAGAGCGTCGAGCAGGTATTTGGTTGATGCGCTGAGCCGACATGGCCTTACGACGGGGGAGATCTGGCGATATCGGGTCGACTATAGATTAAGCTTCATCGACGACGCCGTTGCGCCGTTGGAGGACGGGGTCAGCCACGGCATGGACGGGCCGCTGTGGAAGTAAGTTGCGTTCTGGCGTCCTCGGCGTATCAACGTTGTCCCTGCAGATCCTAATTGGCGCAGTTACTCCATCAATCAGCTTCCGGCCGAAGAGGAGCGCAAAATGCTAGATGCGTGGGTCAAGATACTGGTTGCGTTTGTAGGTGGCGATGACGACTTTGACTTTGGCACAAGGACGATGGATGAGGTCAAGGTCCAGACAAAGAATGGGGATATCAAGGTCGAGAAGGATACGAGATATGACGAGCTTGGACGGCTCGGCGCCATGTTCTCACAACAGTGATTGCAGACTACACGTCCCGTAAGACGGGAAGGCAGGGCTGCGAAAAAGAGTCCAAGGGGATAAATGACCATCAGATTCCATCAACCATCCATGTTCAATGCTCTACGAGGTAAGTCTAAATGCTTCAACCACGCTCATGATGCGATGTATTTGGGTAGTCATCGCCAATGAAAATGGAAAAACGTCCACGGGTTGCGAGCAGGGGCCGGGCTGGCTGGCTCGCTATGTCGCCGGTGCCGTTCTAGATCCGCCTCGCTCACCATCCCCCGGTACTTGGTTGTCTGGAAGACGCACTGCATAATCCAGGCTGGCGGGCAGCATTCGATGCCGGCCTTTCAACATGACGAGGCAAACGACCAGCTTGCTGCCCGGGCGCCAGCTACCACAGAAGCTGTAATTGGCGCCGGGCGAGCCGACGGATATCCCGACGCACCCGTAGGCCGATATGATCTCAAATATAATGTTGAAAACGCTGAATGATACGGGATCCGCGGTGAAATGCGGCTCTTCGATAACGGTGATTATGAATGTGGCCAGCGCGAGCAGCCACATGTCGTTGGCTAGCTGGCCTCTGATTTGCTGCGAGATGAACATGCGCCTGGTCTTGAATGACTTGGGGGCGCCGTACGAGTTGACGCGTCCGCCTTGGTCTGCATCTGATTCGATGGCGAATATTCCCAAGGAGCGCTCCTCGTAGACGTTTGAGTTGCGCATGGTGATGACGACTGGGTATACGGAAACGTACATCATGATGACATACAGCACTTGGAGAGCGATGCTTGTCTTTTCAATGGGGACGACGTAAAAGCCTCCCGATCGGACCGCTGTAGGGCAGCAATAGTTAGTGGCCGTGTGAGCAAAACATGATTCGGGACATGAAGAGAGCGGCTTACCAAAGGCCTGGAAGAGTCCGTCCATGATCCGCGGTCCAAAGGATATCTCCGAGACGATGGGGTTTCCGAGATTCAGAAGCTCAAAGGCCGCCCAGTCTATGCTGTTGAGCAACAGTATCGTGAATAGAAGCCACCAGGTGTGCTGGGTGGGAAAAAGAGTCGTGTACACACGCCGGGGATGGCGCAGAATATACTCAGTGGTCGACCGCCATTGATTGACGAGCGGGCCTTGGGGGAGGGCGCTGACGACTTTCAAGGAGGACCAGAATATGAAGCGAAGAAATATCGGATAGGCCGTATTTCCAGCCAGGATCAAAAGACCCATTGTCAACAAGACATAGTATGCGGCCTGAAAGGGCACCATGTTGGCGTCGAGGAGCGACATGCCGGAATTGTTAAATGCAGAGACGCCATTGAATATCCCGAGCCACCATGGATTGATGCCGTTTTCCAACGCCGGGCCCGGCTGGTTGGTCGCGATCCAAGCTCCGAGGCCTAGGCAGCCAAGTACTTGCCATAGGGTGAAGTATAGCGGAACGACGAGAGACAGCATCTGCAGGGCCTTGTGCTCGGTCCTGGCCTGTCCCACGTCGTCGTCGCCGGCCGCCTTTTCCTCGCACGCATGGATGGCAGCATCGAGGGCATTGTGATGTGCGCCACGACAAGGGGAACGGCGGCTCTGTCCACTGTCCAGGTGAGGCCGGGACGGCCCATTTACTTTGAGAAGTCGACGAAACGAGGCTTGTCTGGCACTGATCAGCCATATCGAAACCCACACGGCACTGCCGCCGACCATGAGCAGGCAAAGGAGGACCTGCTGCGCCGTGGTCAATCTGCTGAGGTCAACTACGTTGAGACCGGTTCCCGTGATGCCAGACACGACCATGAACAAGCTGTCAACATAAGTGACGGAGAGTTTTGGGTCAGAGAGGAGCCAGAAGGCAACAGACGCCAGCAGCGAGACGACGATGAAGTAGGCGTAGTGAAGAGAGACGAAGTTGACGTGTTGCCTGCCGAGGCGGGCGAGGCGCCGCCAAGCCACGGCCGCGATTGTCGAGATGCATGCGGTGACCGACTTGACGTCTTGACGGACGCCGAGACGCATGGTGTCGGGCGGTGCTGCGACGACGAGGGAGTTCCTGGCAATGGCCGTGCATGGCTCTCCATGTCTGCTCGACGGTCGTGGCGGCCATGCGGCTACATATGTATCGAGGAACGTGGCCGTGATTCAAAGTTGAATGCTTTTTTTTTTAGATCACTTTTCAATTTGCACCAAGACATTTATTTTCCAGCCGGCACAGATGGGACCGGCCGACTTAGGCCACAAACAGCCGACGCGCCATTTGATTCGTCACTTGCCCCTACCCAAGATGCAAATTTTGCATAAAATGTGCCACGACATGGGAACGAGTTATGCATAGTCAGCCCTGTACGGCCCGTGCTCGGAGTCTCGGACATGACGACAAAACCACGGCGGCATCGTCCAAGATTTCGGGGCGACGCTGATGCAGCGTCCAGCGTCCCAATCGTTGGGCGGCAGCGATGGTGATGGCGCGTCGCGGTGACGTGACGTGACGTCTCGTACAACGCGGCTCGGCCTACATGGCTCGTCTCAGACATCAACGGCCGATCCGCGGTTGAAGACATTGGCACAGCACAAAGCCGTAGACTGCAGCACTAGTGTGTCTCATTTTGATCGACACGTTGATTTTGGTCCATTATCCAGTAACAATACCTGGTCCGCGCGGACATGTATGCCTGACTTGGACGTGAACACGGAACTGGTTGACCCCGTTCTGAGAGCAGGAATACGGCCCAAAAACAGTGGAACAACAAAGTCAATCGAACTGCTTAAGCTTTGATGGCTTAGCCACAAGCTTGCTTGTGCCAGTACCAAGCATTACTGCATTGGAAGAGCACCGTAACAAGTCGCCCGCTCAGAGAAGTGCCTCCTTTGCACGCCACTGCTATCGTGGTGTTTTCCGCCATCATACCCAACCCTCCGTTGCTTCCGAAATCTTCCCGGCAGCGCAAATCACTCCCAAGACTTGCCCCTGTATCTCGCTCTTCCGCGTGACCTAGCAAGCCGACATTTGGAGTATCATGCGGCTATCTGATACCACGAGTGTTACCGCTATCAGCAACTGGTTACCAACACCACCGAAGGTCAATGCTGTCTCCGTCGTCGCCTAGACTGAAATCGTATCACTAGATGGCAATGGAGTCCCGAGGCGCGGAGTTGTGATAAATACGAGTACATGACAGCAGACCTTGGAGTCTAAAACTGTCCTATAGTTGATGCCAGTAAAACAGTAGTGGTTTCCAGGTTTCACACCTATAAAAACCAGAGGCCCTGTTGCATTACTGTCTCTCTGGATGCTGCGTTGCCAACCTGACACAGTCACGTCCGGCTTCCCTATCCGTAATTCAGCCAGAAAAGCACGGGCTATGATTTGAAGTGCTGACCTTGCCCATGAATGAGTCGTCAGGTCGCTAGCTTGGGGTCGGAGCAACTCTCGACCGCGAGAGCAATGCAAGCTCCCCTGAGCTCCAGCAATTGACTCTAAACGGCCTCTTTCTCCTGCCTAGAGCAAACACAAACGCTTCCCCCTACTCCCGAAAATATTTGAGTTGCAGTTTACGCTACTTTATTGGGTACAAACGTCAGGTTGAGAAGTCTCCGAAACTTTGCCCCGGGCAACAATTTGACTTTCCAACACAACATTTCTCAGGCCCACCACCGTTTCTGTATTCAAAGATGCTTTCTTAGTGTTTCAAGTTGAAGTCATCAGTCAGAGAATTTACTTGCCGCTAGGATCTGCCAATGGTGGCGGCGTCTTCTCACCAAGGAGATGAAGCGAGGTTCCGTCAATAAACCCGCTGTGGACGCAAAGCTTGCACGCTGCATGAACACGCTGCATATCCAAATTTACACAAGCATACGTTTCCGGGGCCCATTTTGCTTTCAATGACGTTTTATATGTATGACGACGTATTACGAAGATATGTTGGCTGACGGATACGAAGTCTAGAACAAGCTGTAGGCGGCCGTGCTACGCTTTCTTATTAGGTCCAAGATTTAAATATAAACGGTGCAAGTTCTCCAGATTTCAAGTATTACACTTGAAGGTTTTGCTGGAGTCACGAGTCACGATAGCCTGCTGAATGCGCATTCTCTCAGATCGCCACTTGACCAACTTCATTGATACTGTCAGGGATCCCTTGTTACCTTGCTTCGAGAGGAAGCGCCAGAATGAAAGTCACTCAGCTTCTTTTTGCCGCCTATATGGCGTCAGGAGCTGTTGCGACCGATGTGGCTCCCCAAGTTTCTGCGCCTGGCCGTGCTCCTCCTGATAATGGCAAAGACGCCAGCAAAACGCCGCCTGAATTTGGCCCAAAGGCTGGGCCACCTGCTCCAGCCCCTGGGCTTGACAACGGCAGACCAACTCAGAACTTGAATACTGAGGGTGGGAGGCCTAGTAATGGTCGGGAACGTGGAAGCGACATCCAAACTCAGGGCCGGAGCGGGGACACCAAGAGCCTTGAGAACTGGAGTCCTACTCAAAGCCGTGGCCACCAGAGCGATGGCCCTACTCAGAGCTGGAATCCAAAGACTGGTAGTCAAGAGACCAACAAGCCTACTCGAAGCTGGAGCCAGCAGAGCGAACCCACACAGACCTGGAGCCATGAGAGCAACAAGCATACCCACGACTGGCACAAGCACAGCGAAACCACACAAACCTGGAGTCATGAGAGCAACAAGCCTACTCACGGCTGGCACCATCAGAGCAAGGTGCCTTCAAGCTACAGGAATGAGACTAGCACTAGGCATTGGAGTATCAAGTCCAACACAACCGCTCAACACACCAAAACCAGCGCCTCTATTACCTGCAGTAATGTGACCCGCAAAGTCGTAACGACATTCTACCCCGTATGTCATATATCCACGGACAAATTGTATCCATGATGGCTAATCAGGAATTTTCTGAACATCATAGAAGCCGACGGTCCTTACAAACGGCAAACAGGTTACGAATATTACAAAGCCTACAACCGTGACGTACCTCTTGCCTTCCCAATTCAACGAATCTTGCAAAGAAGTGCCAGAGGGCTCATCGGCCCAACCTGGGCAGCCAACCACTGGGGGCCCTCCGCCAGGAAGCAGTCAGTCTCTTGGGGTTGGTCAGCCCGGCGCGCCTGGAAGCATTCCATCAGGGGGCAGTCCTGTAGGTGGTGCTCCCGTGGGAGGTAGACCAAGTGGAAGCGGCCCTCCCGTAGGCAGCCCTCCCGGAGGTAGACCTGCCGGAGCTGGTCCGCCTGTAGGAGGTAGGCCTCCTGCAGGTGGTTCCCCCGTAGGCAGCCTTCCCGGAGGCGGTGCTCCCGTGGGAGGCAGTCCTCCCGAAGGCGGTCCTCCCGTAGGAAGCGGTCGTCCTGGAGGCAATACGCCTGTTAATAACCTGCCCGGCCCTGCTGGCAGCCCGCCAGGTAACAACTTGCCGGGGCCAGCCAACGCTCGGCCAGGACAAGGCGGTGGACAACCTCGGCCGGTGAGTAACCAACCTGCAACTGGCAATAACCAGCAGAGCAACAATGCCGGCGGCGGACAGTCTCGCCCGGCCAACGCACAGCCGCCTGTGAATGAGCAATCTGGAGGCAACGGCGGCCAGCAGGCCCGCCCTGCCAATGCCCAACCCCCCTCCAGCAACAACAACAACAACAACAACGACAACAACAACAATCAAGCCGGAGCCAAGAGCGAACAGTCCAGACCTGGGAGTTCTCAGCCCCCGGCCAACAACCAACAAGGGGGTGGCAACAATGAGAAGAAGCCTCCAGGCGGTGAAAATCCCACAAGCTCTCCGACTGTTGGTCCTGGCTCCAAGGCAAAGGCTAACATGAAACCTGTCCTTGGCGCTTGTCTTGCCGCTGTTGTCCTCCTCTAAGCGTATACGATATTTGGTCTCCCCGAAGTTTGATTTTCGGCAACGGTCTTTCTATGAGTTCTAATACAGAGGACAAAACTCGAGCGGGAGTCGGGGCGGCCTGGTAGACAAAAGGCGCAGTTCAGAAATAGAAATATCGTGTCATCTTGCGATGCATCTTTCTCTACTGTGCAATATACGTTACACCGTGAAGCCCAACCTATGTATATGAAACAGGTTCAACTTGATGTATTTCAAGCCGTCATCTAGATCCAAGTCATGATGTCCAGTTTGTGTTTATCGCAGAGACCTAGGTGGTCACTACGAGTTCTCGTGCTATCAAGAGAGGAGCGCCCGAGCCACCATCGGTCTTGGCCAGGTACGCAAAGAGGACGAGATGGAGCAACTAGAGACGATCCCCTTGCTCCGGGCATCCACGCTGCCGAGTAAATACTAGGTCGAATCATTGTAGGTACACTTGATGACTGCCAATGCTCCAGTTACCACATTAGACAAAGCTTGCGGCAGCTACTGGCGTCCGGATCTGCTCTCTATTCCCTTCTCATATCTGGTGGCGCAAGTGTCTCGTGCGTTACAAAAGTCTTAATTCTGAATCCCCCAAGCCGGTGTTGCCACGCTGAGAGGACTTGCTCCTCCATGTACATTGTCTAGTTGCCCAGCATGATGGCGAGGTGATTCGGTCGTAAACCATTGAGGAGTAGCAGACTTGGTGTGCTCAGCTGGATTCTAGACCAAGGTATTCCGCAGTGAATGTCAGCCACCCCCAGAAAGCCACCGGGTTGGATCTCCAATACTTGCCTTGCTACTCTCAGCTTGGGATAGATCGTCTATGCGGTGGCGCCGGGCCAGCTGGACGAGGCAGCACAGAGGTTTGTTATAAAGTTCGATGCTCAAGCTGGGATCGTTTGCAGAACAACGCACCCGAGATTGGAGGTAAAGTTATTTCTCACATGCACCACAGGCAGCAGAAAACGACTCCGTCACGCCGAAATGGTTTCTTGCCGACGCTATGCCCTCGCCGCTCTCGCCGCATCTCGCAGTCATGCTCCTCTGGCCAACGCCATCTCAACAGACTCTCCGGCCACGGAGCCACCAGCACGACAGACACCCCAAGCCGGGCCCGACCCGACAGCAGGTGTGATTCGTCGTGATGACTTGGACCTGTTCCCACGCGCGACAACTGCGCAACTACAGCTTCACACGTGCGGATACCTCTACGGAGACTCGAGTACGTGGTAGTGTTCCGGCCAAGCGTCTCACGTTTCTGCCAAGTCGTCGACCTGACATTGGAGCTCTGCTCAGACCAGGCATTTACCTGCGGAGGCGCCTTCTTCTGCGCTACCTATTCGCAGTACAGGGCTTTCGGCTGCTGCACGACGACGAGTCCATGCGTATTCCCGACAGCCTGTCTTCCGCTGGAATCGTCGTCGGCCGCGGGCACCGCCGACTTGAACTTTACACTATACTGGTGAGAAGAGACATCGCGTCCTGTGGTTCAAACCGAGGCAAAGGTTGCTAAATGCTTCCCTGGGGGTTGCCCAGCTCCGACACGGCAAAACCCCATTGCGCGACCGTCAGATACGCCGATCCCTCCTACTCCGGGTACACGTTTCAGTTGTGCGACACCACGGCGACGACCTTGCCCATTTATTACCAGGCGCGGGAGACGTCCGGTGGCGGCGGCTACACCCTGACGGGCAGCTCGTCGTCCACGGCGCCGCCACCGCCGCCGCCCCCAAACTCAACGTCAACGCCGGTCGGCGCCATTGTAGGGGGCGTGGTCGGGGGACTCGGTAAGCGGACAAGAGGCGTGTCAGCCGTGACGGAGCGGGAAAAGCTGACCTTGCCAGCCGGGTTGACGATTCTTGGTCTTCTGGCGCTCCTGCTGCTTCGGCGGAGGAAGAAGCGCAAGAGCCTCGGACCCCAGCAGCCGTTTGTCTCGGAGAACTCATACGGCAGTGATTACGCCGGCCACGACCAACGCTCCAGTGTAGCTACGAGCGCCATGTCGACGCCGTTTGGAGCGCCTCTGCCGGCTTACTCGCCCAGCCGCGTTGGTCAGCAGGCTCAGGCACACGGGGAGCATTGGTCTCCGATTCACGAGATGCCCACTGAATCGCCTCACAGGGAGGCGCATGAGTTGGCCACGTGAGAGCAGAAGCTGGCCAAGAAGTGCCCGGGCCTGTCGGGGACGCACTGGGAGCCTGTGCAGGAGAGGATATCACTCCCTTGACGTCTGTCGGGTCCAATTGCGGCCGAGCACTTGGTAGCGGGCACCAAGAGGGAACGGCCTCGAGGCAGAACAGAGGCAGCCAAGTTGCATTTCTATCAAAGGACAGGATCGACGTTGGGGGGTTTGTGTGCCAAGTTGAACTCGCGGTCAACAACAAGTAGTCAAGTGAAACTCCAACAAGTGCTCTCACAAGGCGAGCAAAAGACAACTTCCCACAAAGAAAGGAGAAAGTAGGAAAATGAAAAAGCCCTCGACTAAGGATACGATGTAGCGCCGAAAATTTTGCTCTAGACGGCAGTCAACTCGGAGAGCATCGCAGATGGCTCCCGGTGCAGGCAGTTGGTCGAATACCGCTGACGCCGCTGACGCCGCTGACGCTGACGAGCAACACGGGCTGAGGGCTGACTGGTAAAGGCAATATAGCTAGACTTGAATTTCATCTTTCTAGCGGTACCACATCCTGGAAGCCAATCACACAGAAGTAGAGCAACGCTACTCTCCAGTCGAATTTTTGTATTGATTTTATGCTAGACAAGACGAAACTAGTGCCCTTCCGAGGACTAGAACAATGCTTTATCCCGGTGTCCCAATGTCGTAATGACAATAAATGGTGACTGGCTGCAGGCAACAAAAAAACCCCTTATAAAAGAGGAAAAAAAGTAAATTTCATGCCAAAAAGTAAAGACAAGTGCCCTTCCAAGGACTAGCATAATGCTATATTTCAGTGTCCTAATGTCGTAATAACGTGACGGGCGGCAGATAATAAAAAACCTACTCTTGAAAGAGAGGAAAAAGTGTTAGAATTTTCTTTTGTTAGCAAGTAGTTACTTTTATACATGTTCTCTGATCTTATGACGAGGTGTAAGAGGTCTGATACGAATAATAGTACGACACCTCCAGTCTAGTAGCTGTGAGTAGAAACTTGGACTTGGGTGTGTTGTCAGGGCATGCTGACTCGCTTTTAGGCTCTCCAGGCTGAGCATGAGGTGAGAATTGATCAGAGACTCCTACAAACATTCTTGATTTCTAATTACAAAACTAAAAGCGCCTGTGCCGACAAGCGGCGGTAGGTCCCTTTCACTGGGCATAAATCGCGAGCTATACTAGTTACTGGAACTTACAGGAATCTGAGGCCAAGGCCGTCGTAAGTTTGACCAAAGCCCTTGTTGTCAGTTTAAGTCGCTTATTATTTCTTAGAATGCCGAAAGAACTCTAGAGGCAAGTATAATGATCCCCAATTTGCCCAGGGACACATAGGGCTTATTGTCTTTCAGAATATTGGCGACCCCACCACGGTAAGGACATTCAACAGTACATAAATAGATACTCACTAACATTCGATTCAGGAGGTGTACAAAAAATTTGTAGGTCCATGGATGAAACAGTCCTACGGTCCGTTTGCTAATGTAGGTACCTTGGTCAGTTGGCGGAAGGGTCACAGTGGTGAGTACAGCACACGACATGTATTCCAGAATGGTACCTGAACTGACCTCATCGAGAGATCACCAATAAAAATTAGCTGTCTGTAAGTAGTATTATTCAAATGTCAACCCAGTCTATTGCTCATAAAAGCTCTTTAGATAGTTGCTACCCATAAAAACGTGCTATGTAGGCCACCCTTCACCGCTTACCTTTACCATCGACGACCAGCGAGTGATAAACTAATCAAGAAATGAGAGGAGAAAGCTCACATTAGTTATGAATTTGTAGGTCTTCTCAATAGGAGATACATGTGTATTGATGCAGCTAACATCGAACGCAGGATTCTGTCCTTTTGGTAATGCCCCGTTTGGGCGTTCGATGACTCACTTGACTAGGTGATGATGATTAACATTTAGCAGATTTCTTTCCTCCACGGGCCTTGCTTCCACGGGCCTTGCTTCCACGGGCCTTGCTTCCACGAGTCTTTTTTGCACGACTCGTCCCCGTACTTGACAATTTTTCTTGTATTATACGCCTTTTCTCTTCCTCAGCTTCCTCTCGCGTGGTGGTTGGCAGACAGCATTCATCGAACACGTGGGGCGTGCTGTTGTGATTCCCCTCACGCTGAAGGCGAGCCTCTGCATTCCTCCTCCTTTGGTCTGCGATCCTGGCAGAGGCAAAGTACGGCAACGCCGCGGTGGTGCCTAGCCGTCCCGCAAACCAGTCGAATACAGTCTCAGGTAGTGGCGTGGTGCCGCGCTTTAGTAAGCTGTACAGTCGCACATTAGCTCGCATCTGCAAACGCTGCTACTATAATTTTCTGATTTTTAGATTTTTAGATTTTTTAAAAGTATAGAGTTATATAGAAAAAATTCCTTCTACCTTAATATATAAATTAAACTTTATACTATAATTATTCTAGATTTATATTAAAACTAGTTCTATATTATTTCTAAATTATTTCTAAATTATTTCTAAATTATTTCTAAATTATTTCTAAATTATTTCTAAATTATTTCTAAATTATTTCTAAATTATTTCTAAATTATTTCTAAATTATTTCTAAATTATTTCTAAATTATTTCTAAATTATTTCTAAATTATTTCTAAATTATTTCTAAATTATTTCTAAATTATTTCTAAATTATTTCTAAATTATTTCTAAATTATTTCTAAATTATTTCTAAATTATTTCTAAATTATTTCTAAATTATTTCTAAATTATTTCTAAATTATTTCTAAATTATTTCTAAATTATTTCTAAATTATTTCTAAATTATTTCTAAATTATTTCTAAATTATTTCTAAATTATTTCTAAATTATTTCTAAATTATTTCTAAATTA